TTGAAAACATAATTTCTCAATCGAATACACCTCTCTTAATGCATAGTTTCTTCCAATAATACGAATAATTATTATGTGAGTTATTTGGTGGAGCCACCAAATCACCGTGACAGTGTCGTGATCGTTCGTTGCATGTGGATGTAGCATTTTTGACTTTTCTATAATAAATTTAGTTTCTTCATATTTTATGGTGTGTTTACTTACCTGAAATAAGAACTGAAATGGAATTTTGTTACTTTTCAGACCCGTTTTGTTCCCGCACTCCTTTTTTTTATTTTTCACCACATAATTGAATCAATGCAGTAAATTAAGGAACGAGTGAATTAAGTGACAAAAACAAAGTAAAGAAGTGCATGACGACAAAAGGAGATTGATAATCATTTTCCAATCAAAATTTTCTATTTTTTCACTTCCTTCCATTTGATATGGATATGTAACACCGAAAAATTTGAGAATCATATTAATTAAAAAGTTAGTTAATCTCATAATCTATCTCTTCCCACTCTGCTAAATTTGTGGATTGACTTTGTGGTGTGCAGCTCACAATTCGCATGCTTGACTACATGATTTTTAGAGAATTGGTCCAAAAATAATTATAGACCTGGACAAAGCTTAATGCATATGCAGTTTCTTAGCTTCTTTTATTTTAGTGTCTCATAAATATATTTATTTCGAAAACAAAAGACTGCAGGCATCAAAAGTCAGAAAGCGACAACTATACTAGTAAGTTGAAATGTTTGACCATATCCTCGTTAATGTCCTACATTAGAAAGCTTAATGTTGTCTCAGTAAATCCATGTCTATTTGTTTCATAGTTGACCATGTATATAAGTTCAGAAGCCCCATCAGAGAGCAGCGCTACTTCATCTTCATTAGGTGTGAACCGATAAGAATAAGGAGATCAACTATTTAGATTACATTTTGTAAATTATATGACGTAGTTATTGGCGATTGAATTATTACTTAAATATTGATTAACGTATTTAATTATTTTGTATTGGTGACTCATCAACATAGTTTGTAACTTTGGTAAAAAAGTTGACCTACTCAGCATTGCTCTTAAGTGAACATATGATTACTTTTATTTGAAGGCTCACTCCCTCCACAATTAATACTTAATTAGTTGCCAGTTATGCATGATTTGTTAGAAATTGTTAAAATCACCGATGTGCTTTCTTGGTACCACATATATTGGGCCTCAGACTTTGACACATTGGGCCTCAACATTTGAGCCTCATTACCCATCCCATTATTATGTAAAAGGAGGAGCCCCTTATTCTATAAAAGGGGACTCCTCCCCCCTCACAAAAGGGACTAAGATCTCAGATCAGGGGATACCCTCAAAACATACAAGCTCACAGATCAGGGGATACCCCCCTCCGGTTTTGTGCATCAACATGCTTAATTCTAAAAGATTTTCCATACATTACAGCTCAAACTAATCATTTAAGTTTTGGGTTTGTAACTCGCAATAGTTTAGTGATAATGTAATATGAAAAGAAATAAGAATTGGTGGGTTATATCTCTTAGACGTGTTAAGCCAAGGCCACCTCTTGTATACACTACAAAAGATTACTCATAAACTTGCCCTTAATTAATTAAGTTTGTCTTGTCTTAATCAAAATTTCATGTTTTGGGACAACGAAAAATGTGGGCGGCTATGATCCTATGAGCATGAAGTAAGAATTATGAATCCATCTAGAGAGAGAACAAATCCGAGAAACTACAAAGTGCACCTACCTTTTACATATATAATGCCCAATTGCATGCATGCATGGAGGTCAAAAAAGTCGCACGTCAACCGTTTTATATTAACATTTCTAATTACCCATGCAATTTTGCAACAGGACAGAGATTACCTAGCTGTAAAATAAGATTATTTACACGACGAATTTTCATCCTTTGACTAGTAATATTAAGAGTAACAAGAGAAACTTCAAACCACAATCCATTAAAGACGAATACCTTTCTTATATATTTTGCCAACCAAATCCGAATTGGTACTACTACAGCTACAAAGGCGACGTACGCGTTTGCAGGAAATAGCGACCTGGACAAACCAAAGCAGCTTGAGTACGTACGAAACTGCCCTATATATAGACAAGACATACAAGCTTCATCTTCATCAACTTCTTCAATATTCATTCTCATTCTTTATTCAGTTCATCACTTCAAATATTTTCATTTAGTGGCTTCTTACTTGTATTGATTAAGTTCAATTAAGCTCGATGAGGATGTCTTTCCCCTTCTTTTCCGGCCATGGAAATGTCGCAGCTGTTGCACTCGTGATGTTGGTTTTCATGAGCACAACAAGCGAAGCCCAATTATCTTCTACATTTTATGACAAAACCTGTCCAACCGCTCTTACCACTATAAAAAATGCCATAAGAACAGCTGTTTCCAGTGAAAGGCGGATGGCCGCGTCCCTAATCCGCCTCCACTTCCATGATTGCTTTGTCCAGGTACTAATTACTTGACATATATACATACATACATATATATATATATATGAGATACTTTGGATGCGGTCTTTAATCTTTAACATTTTTTTACTAAAACCTTAATAGTATTCAAAGTTTGATCAAAGTCCCTTGACTTTGTACACCTCATTATATTACAATTAATATTTATATTTTTATAGTTTTGACATTAATTGTTTGATATTTTATGAGATTTATAATCTTATAAATTTAAAATCCCTCATTATATAATACCATTAGAAACGGTTACAATAAAAAAATTCAAACATTTTGATTGAATAAATGGAAAAAACTATGTAAAAATAAGAAATAATAAATGGCAAAAGAATGTATCCATAGTGTTAAAAAAATTGGTACATTTCACATATAACAAAGTGGTACATTAATAAAGAAGAATGGGAACATTATAAATAAATTAGGGTACAAATAAAAGATTAAAAAATTATGAGTACAAATGATTTTTTTTAAATATTGGCACTAAAAGAAATTAATACATGGGTACAAAATAAAACTAAAAAGAAAATACTACAAACTTAAAAAAAAAAATGTTGCAAATTAAAAGTGGGTACAAACTAAAAATATAAATATATGATACAAAGTTTAGGCATAAAACATAAATATATCATATGTAATTTTTCTATCATTGATTAAACATATAATGTCACGTGACGGCATACATATGGGTACAAACACAAATAAAACTTTTAAAAAATATGGGCACAAAAAGAAACTAATATATGGGTACAAATTAAAAATGAAAAAAAATGGTACAAATTAAAAATAGGTACAAACTAAAAATAAAAATATATGATGGAAATTTTAGCCATAAATATAAATATACAAAATATAACATTTTTAACACTAAAGGAATATATTTAAAAATAAAAATATTTTATTATTCAAATAATTAATGATGTTATTAATACCAAGGAACTTGATCAAAAATTGAAAATGAATATGATTTTAATCAATGAAGTAGCAAAAAGAATGATATGAACCTAATTTCTCCTATATATATACACACACAATGTATTTTTAGGGTAGGTGTTCTCATGTCATATTGTTTTTAATAAAACTTTAACTTTATTCGTAAAATATAATTATAAATTGTAGCGCAATATTGAGTGTCTTAGTTTTTGATGAATATATGAATTGTATTTGTAGGGTTGTGACGCATCAATCTTACTTGATGACGCTCCTTCTATCACAAGTGAAAAGGGCGCATTTCAAAACAACGGTTCTGTGAGAGGCTTTGAAGTCATAGATAAAGCAAAAGCTGAAGTAGAGAAGGTCTGCCCTGGTGTCGTATCTTGCGCAGATATTCTCGCTGTAGCCGCTCGGGATGCATCCGTTGCCGTGAGCGGTCCATCTTGGACGGTGAAACTTGGAAGAAGAGATTCCACCACAGCAAGCCAAAACCTAGCTGAAAGTTCACTTCCACTTTTCACAGACAGCCTTGACAGCCTGAGAGAGCGATTTGGCGACTTAGGCCTCAACGCGAGAGATTTGGTTGCACTGTCAGGTGCACATACAATTGGACAGGCTCGTTGCGTTACATTCCGTGGCAGGATTTACAATGCAAGTGACATCGATTCTAACTTTGCCACTACTCGCAAACGTCGTTGTCCAGCTGATGCAAACAACGGCGATGCAAATTTGGCACCGCTCGAGTTGGTGACACCGAACTCATTTGACAACAATTACTACAAGAATTTGATTCAGAAGAAGGGTCTTCTTGAATCGGATCAAGTTCTTTTTAGTGGAGGTTCCACAGACAGCATCGTCTCCGAGTACAGTTCCAAGCCCGCAACTTTTAAGGCTGATTTTATCACCGCTATGATTAAAATGGGAGACATTAATCCTCTCACCGGTTCAGCTGGAGAGGTCAGAAGGATTTGCAGTGCTCTCAACTAAATTCTTACTTACTTGAGCCACAAGATTGAGTATCCACACATGAAAATGTAACTTAATCTCTATATCGAATATTTCTTTCAGTTTTGTTTTTTTGTTTTTACGAGTGTCTGTTGTATTGATTCATTCATATGTAACCTTAATTATACAGTGTTATTATTTTTCAATAAATTTGTTTTCCAATAATAGAACGAAGTCAGATGTTTATATTGTCAATTACTAACGGTTATTTTGAAATATATTTATTTCATGAATTATGAATGATGGCGCTATATATTTTAACTTAAAATGATATAACTATACATGAAATTTGATTAATAATTATGATAAGAGCAGTACTACACTTACCATTTATTTATATCATTATTTGTGTCAAATGTCTAATAGAGATAGGGCCCATCATCACATGTGAATCCTATCTCTATTAGAGAGATGATAAGAATAACATTTTGTTGTGATAATTTATATGGTGTAGAATGTGCCACATTATTTGGTGACAAAAATGTTATTTTTACCATCTAGTTGTATCATCATTTGTATCATCTATCTAATAGAGATGAGACTCATATACGTTGGAAGACCCTACCTCTATTAAATAGATGATGCAAATAAATGGTAAATATAGCACTACTCATTTGGTGCATATATTTGGCAAAAAATGACACTCTTACTACATTTTACATGCCACATTTGTTCTGTAATAGAAGTAGGGCTCACAAACACATGTGAGTCTCCTCTCTATCTAACGCTAGAATTCGATTTCGATCTGTACAGATAAAATGAAAAATTTCGAAATCGAATCAAGATTTAAGAGGCCTATCGATATAATCTATGTAACCTTAAAGCTACCTTGCAGCCATTTTACCTGCATTTCCAGCCCCGAATCTGTCAAAGCATTCAAGGCTGACCGGTAAAGCCTCCCATCCAACGCCATCCCTTCCGATTTCATATCTCTCAAAAGCTTCACCAGCTCATCAATCCGGCCCGTCTTCGAAAAAATCCCAACCATCATTCCAGCCAAAGCCTTGTCCAAAACACCCCCATGAACCCTAAACTCATGGTAATATTTCATACACATTTCAAACTCCCCTGCCTTGTTGTAAGCACTTATAACCGTCGTGTAGCTTACTTTATCCGGCACTACCTTCCTTCGCTTCATTTCCGTCCAAATCTTCGAAACCTGCCTCAAATTCTTGTCCCTTCCATGCATATCCATCAAAGAATTGTATATCCATACGTTCGGCTTACACCCTCTTTCTTTCATCTTCGCCACAAGCCTCATTGCATCTCTTGGCCTCCCTGTTTTCCCGTACATCACAACCATGCTAGAATATGCCACAGCACATTTTCCAAACCCCTTTTCCTCCATCTCCTCAAAAACCATTTCCGCCTTCGAGTTAAGCCCTAGGCGGCAATAGACATTGATGATGGACGCGTATGTCACTTGCCCTGGCTGGCAGCCCATCGACACCAAATCTTCGAAAAATTTAACAGCGGTCAGGAGTCGATTTTTCCTAGAGAAGCCACTAACAACCGCACAGCATATATTGTCGGAAACCCTGATATTCGCACCCTTCATCACCTTAACTACTCCGAGAGTCTTCTCTGTCAACCCTTCTTCCACATACATTGATATCATTTTTAAAAACAAACTCGGATCCTTCAACAATTTCTTGCTCTCTCCTTCTTCAAAAAGCTCTTCAGCCACCCCTACTTCTCGAATGCTTGCGAATGAACAAATCAGCAGAGAGTAAATCTTTGAAGATTCTAAATAAACTCCTCTCTCCGTCACACTTCGGAAAATCTCAAGAGCTTCAAAGGGCTGTCCCAATTTGCACAGTGATTCACATAAAATTCCGTATATTTGAGTAGAAAAAGGCACCAAATCTAATTCCCTACTTTTCATTTCTTCAAACAATTCATTAACTTTTCTGCAATCACCCTTTTTCATATAAGCTTCCATGATCCGGCAATAGCATCCGGAATTCGCAGTAATTCCATCGGATTCCATCCGTTCAAACACGGAAATCGTGCTTTTAAACATATGAAGCTCATTATATCCTCTCATCGTCGAATCAAAAGCCGGGACAGCAACTTCATCTCCGTGATCACTAAACACATCAAGCAAAATCCTAACAATTTTGAACTTCCTAGCTCTAATGCAGCTAGTGACCAATCTAGAGCAAGTATAGCCATCAGGCACTACTTCATAATTCTTAAAATCCTCAAAAACCGAAATAAACAAACCCCATTTATTGGAACGGATCAAGTACCTTATCAGCTGCTCCAATGTCGATTTGTTTGGTCTGAATTCAGGCTTCTTTCGGGCTTTCTCGTAGTGATCGTAGGCGCATTCTTCCGTCTGAGGATTCTGAAACAAGCCACATATGAAATCGTTCGAGTCCTCGGCACCCGGCGTTGGAGCTGGACATTCTTCTGGGGAGTTTTGTAACTTCAAGTCCAATTCAATGACGGGAAAATTGGTTAAATTTGCATTGAAAACTCGGAGATTATTGCTATAGCAAGTGGGATTAATGGAATAGAATAAATGGGTTTTGAATGATGCGAGGAAGTGAAATTTGTGAGGATTTTTGGATGAGATCACGCAAGCAGAAGACCAGTCTGCTGAAGTTGCAGCAGAACTGGCGATGGACATTGGAGGAGATGATAAGGCCGTTGAAGACTTGAGTGAAATAAGTGGGACGGAGACTCTGCCTGTGTGTGTGTGTGTGTGTGTGTGTGTGTGTATAGATATACCTTATCCCCAACTGGATTTTTGCCATGCGTTTAAATCGTATAAGCCACTCGCAATGCCCCACTTGGAAAGTTCAATGACATAGAGATATGTCTGCCAAAGCGAAGGCCACGAGACTTCCAATCGATTCTTAAACATAACACTAATGAGAGTGTGAAAATCACTAACCTCATAGTTTAAATGCGGTTTTACTCTAATCCAAGACGTTCACTTAGTCAATACTGTGTTTTCAGTAGGAAATGTTTAATAAATACTTTTTCTTATATACAAGCGGTATTGTGATATTGTGTGAGGGAGATTTGAACACATAAACCACTATGATACAAGTGATATTGCGATATTGTGCGAGAGGGTGATATGGTGAAACTTTTCATATACTAGTTGTAAGTACGTACTAGGTAAAAGTCTCAAGTTCAATTTACTTATATGAGGAGTGATATGTCCAAATATTAGAGGGTATTTTAGCGCACCCCTAAAGTTCATTTATTTATTGATTGCCGTTAGATTAATTTACATTTTAAAATTTGTATCTTAAACCAATTAAACCAAATTAATCTAACGACAATGAATATGGGTGAACATCAGGCACTTTAAGGGGAAAATCTTGGGTGCGGCCATCATTGGTGGAGAAAATTTTCATTGTGATCGAAATACAAGTGATACGCGTGATGAAATTTCTAAAGATATTAACTTTTTAACACACATATCTCACCATTTGCATAATGACATGAGATGTACCACTTAGTGTTCCGGTCACACTGAAAAATCTCTCCTATTGGTGGTGGACCCCCAAGGTTTTGTATGGCGGAATTGGATCCTCTCCGGATCCAAGGGATCTGAGCCAATTGAGCAAGGCATCTGGACCATTGAAATTTGATCCAACGGCTACAAATAGGGGGCCCCTCTAAAGTTATAATAATTGTAACCGTTGGATCAAATTTTAATAGCCCAGATGCATTGCACAGTGGGCTTAGATCATTTTGGATCCGGAGAGGATCCAGTTCCTTGTATGGTAGGGATGTTTTTGTGTTTGTGGGCCATATGACCACGTGGTCCGGAGAGTGGATTGAAGAGCAAAATGCACTTATCTAATTATCATGGTTGGCTAAACACCTAGTAGTAATGATTGATGATGAAGTTTAGACTTGTATTTCACATAGTACATATAAAATTCAATTTTTAACGTTGTTGAATTACAAAATAAATGTCACGAAAAGGTTAAATATCTCTAATTAGTTGATTGCCTCTGTATTTGAATGTACTCTCTTAAATTCTTTTAAAATCATAATTAACAACATCTAAATTTTAAAATCTTTTAAAATCTTTAAAATCTTTTAAATTCCATCTAAATTCTTATTTGACTACACTCTTTAGATCTCTACAATCCTTAAAAAGATGGATTGCCGTGTCGCGACGACCAACCAAAGTAAGGGCTGGTTTGGTATTGCTGTGATTTGAAAAAAAGCTGCTGCGAGAATAAGCGGCTGTGCTGTGAGAATAAGCGGCTGTGAAATAAAGCAGCAGAGTGTTTGGTAAACTTTTTTCTAAAAGTGCTTTTGGAAAAAAAAGGCAGTCTGATAGTGGGTCTTTTCATTAAAGGAGCATTGTAGCTCGATGTGCTTTGAAAAAAAGCCAGTTTTCCAAAGCTGCAAATAGCAGCTTCAGCTTTTTCCTTTGATTTCAGCTTATTCTCACAGCAGCTTCCAAAATAAGCCCTTTTTTTTCAGTTTACCAAACACCTAAAACCCTCACAGCTTTTTTTCATGGGTGCTTTTTTTTTAAGCACCTCACTCCCAAACTAGGGCTAAATAGGTGGTAAATAAAAAAACTACAAATTTCCTTATCGCGGTTAGAGAACACCTTAAACCCTTGTCACTGCCAAAGCGCCCTTCACGGACGTCACCCTTCTCTAAAACCCTAAACCTAGAATTCGTCCCTCTCCGAAATCCAAAGTTTCAACGCAGCCGGATCCAGCCGCAATGAGAAAACCCAAATCGAAGTGCTCCCGCAAGCAAAAGGACCTCTCGGAGCTCCAGGAAATCGAGCTTCTGAATTCATGGATTGAATCCCAGAAACCCGATTGTGGCTCCAACCCCATGTCTCTCCCCGCCTTGCCCTCCGACGCCCCCGTCGGCCGTCCCGGTGACACCTTATTTTCTCCCTACGCCGGCGGCACCAGATTCGAGCAGCTGCCCGTCTCTAAGAAGACAAAGGACGCCCTGCGCCAGTGCAAGTACGTTGAAATGACAGATATTCAGAGGGCTTCTTTGCCCCATGCGCTGTGTGGCAGAGATATTCTCGGCGCCGCCAAGACCGGGTCGGGAAAGACTTTGGCTTTTGTTATTCCGGTAAGTTGGGCATGCTTTGTTTTGGGGTTGGTTTGGTTGCGGAGATAGTGGTGTGTAAAGAATTTAATTGGGTGCGTGTAGTTTTACTATTTTTGATGATCCGTGTGAAAAATGAGTGCTTTTGATCCGTGTGAAAAATGAGTGCTTTAGGAAGATGATTGATGCTGGAAATTGTGAGAAAGTGAATGGATTTTCTTCAAATTTGTTCGCAATTTTGATTTTTGGTTGGTACAAAATTTTTGGTCGTGGTATGTTGCATATTTGGATCTGCGAACTTTTCATGAGTTTCGGTTATGCTTATCGCAATTATGATTGTTAATTTCCTCGGTTTTCCCTCTTTTCTACTAAGTTTGTTAAATTTGAAACCAAATGCGCCACAAGAAACTGAATTGTTATATGTTTATGTTAAGTTTATATGCATCTGTTTACACACTTAAGCATGCTAATGATCGAGACATTTATATATGCATACATATATTTGTGCAAACTTTCCTTTCCTTTGTCAGTGATAGGCATTCTTCTTTGGTAACAAAAAGAACCCTTTTCTGATGCTGTATCATTTTTTATTATTTCAGCTTGTGGAAAAATTGTATAGAGAAAGATGGGGACCTCAGGATGGGGTAGGCAGCATCATAATATCTCCAACAAGGGAGATAGCTGACCAAACTTTGATGTGTTAAAATTGGTTGGGAGGCACCATAACTTTAGTGCTGGTCTTCTAATTGGTGGTCGCAAAGTTGAAGAAGAGAAGGAGCACGTAAATGACCTGAACATACTGGTTTGCACTCCAGGACGGCTTCTTCAGCACATGGATGAAACCCCAAATTTTGATTGCTCACAACTTCAGGTTTTGGTCCTTGATGAGGCAGATCGTATTCTTGATGTCGGATTTAAGGACACACTGAATGCAATCATTTCACAGCTACCTAAAAAAAGACAAACGTTTCTCTTCTCAGCAACTCAAACAAAGTCGGTTAAAGATCTTGCAAGACTCAGTTTGAAGGATCCAGAATATCTCAGTGTGCATGAGAAGGCTGTGACAGCGACTCCTACTCTTTTGCAGCAGGCGGCAGTCATCGTTTCACTTGACAAAAAATTAGACGTGTTGTGGAGCTTCATAAAGACACATCTAAATTATAGAATTCTAGTGTTTCTATCAACCCGCAAACAGGTGCAATTTTGTCTCTGAATTATGTCTACGTAGCTCAGATGCCAGTTTGTCATGCCTAATAATTTCAGCATAATATATTCAACATCGAGTTCATCTGGTTGATAGAGGCCAGCTTAAGCCCTTGAAATGAGAGAGTGCGCCCAACAGAATCAATTAAATAGTTCAATGAACTTCGATCGTGAATGAAAGATGCAGACTTTTTATATGCCCTTGGAGTTTGAATTAATGGTTCTGCATTTAGGTCTATGTTGATGTCTCTTGTTAACTCACCCCGTTTTCCCTTCACAAGCCAGCATGGAAATGTTGATCATATCAGTAATTATAGTTATAGACATACTTACACATACATATATAAAGAATATAGCTTTCTCCTAAGTTGCTCGAGTCATTTACTAGAAAGAAATTTCTTCACTTACTCAGGTGGTACTGTTTTGATCCCAAACCAATTTGGCACAGGATCATATTTGGGGGTGGGGTGCATGTTTCACCTCCATTTTTACGACTGTTGATGATGTTGAATTGCATTTTTTAATAGGTAAAGTTTGTCTATGAAGCATTTAAAAAGCTCCGTCCTGGAATACCCTTGAAGTGTCTTCATGGTAAGATGAAGCAAGAGGGACGAATGGGAACGTACTCACAGTTTTCTGAAAAACGTTGTGTTCTCTTCTCAACTGATGTGGCTTCAAGAGGCCTTGATTTCAACAAGGCAGTTGACTGGGTTGTTCAGGTGGGTTGTCATCTCCAAAAATATTCTTATTATGTTCTAACAAATATAAGGAAAAGAAATTTGTTTTCTGTGGTCACAGTTTTAAAGTTATTTTTCCCCATGTGTAGGTGGACTGCCCAGACGATGTTGCATCTTACATACACAGAGTTGGACGAACTGCTCGTTATCAATCTAAAGGGCAATCACTTTTATTTCTGATGCCTTCAGAAGTAAAAATGCTTGAGAAATTGAAGGAGGCAAAAATACCTATTAAGTCCACCCAGGTTTAATTTTCTTTCTTTCGTCTTAGGAGGACGGGGTTGGGAGTAGGAGAATCCACTGTCCACTTATTTTTGTTGTTTCCATTTTGATTTGTGGGCCATGCTAAATTAGCTGCTATACTGATGTGTCAGGCTAACCCGGATAAACTGCAACCAGTGTCTGGGTTGTTAGCATCTTTGCTAGTCAAGTACCCAGATCCACTTCAGGGTCTAGCTAAAAGGGCATTTATCACGTACGTGAAATCTATTCAAAAGCAGAAGGACAAAGAGATTTTTGATGTTACGAATTTACCAGTTGAAGAATTTTCAGCATCACTGGGTCTACCAATGACTCCTAAAATTCGTTTTGCAAACCAGAAAATCAAGTCGAAGAAAGTGCCTGAATTATTTCCCCTTGTTGAACCAGAAAGTTGGGACAAGGAGGATAGGTTGGAGCTTCCAAAAGAGGAGCTCGATATTGGTGATTTTATGGAAGAGGACGGGGAGGAAGATGCTCTTGTAAGAAATGCTACTGCAAATGAGGCAGAGGGGGAAGGACGAAAAATCGAAGATATTATGTAAGTTGCTTGTCTATATTGTTTTATACATATTTAACCTTAAAGATTAGTTTGCAAGGTTCTGATTGACATTAGAAGCAAATTATACACAAATGGATGGACAATTTCGTAATAAATCCGTTTTCTGTGCTTGCCAACTTAAAATGATATCATCCAGCTGTGGTCGTTTTGGATGTATTACCAATGCCATGCTGACTACCTTAATGCACTCTTTTATCATGTGCCATTTGTTTCCCAATCTGTTGGCGAAATTTGAGTTCAATCACTTTTTTTTTCCTTGTAGACCGGCTACTCGGGTTTCGAAGAAAAAGAAGTTAAAGATCAATATCCATAGGCCAGTGGGGACTAGAGTCGTCTTTGATGAGGAAGGCAACACGCTACCTCCATTAGCAAGGCTGGCTGATATCAATACCAGTGGTCTGCCTGATGAAATTCATGGTATGTGTTGTGATTCTAGAATTTACATCAAATATAAACCAGAATAACTGAAAATATTACAAGCATAGCATAAACTTGGGGTGACGCCCTAATTTCGAAATGAACAATTGAGGTAAACAAATAGATTTATGAATTTTTTACTCCTATTCTGAAGAACATGTTGTCCTGACGTAACTTATTTTTTGCTGCAGACATGAAAAATGACTATTACAAGAAGCTTAGGGAAGATATGAAGGTGGTGGACAAGGAAGACAAGGTTCTAGACCGCCAGCGTCGGCGTGAGAAACGTTTGAAGCATAAGATGAAGTTGAAGAGAGGAAACACAGAAGAAGATTCGGAGGATAATCTTTCTGATTCAGAAGGAGAACCAGCTGAGGATCGACCCCGCAAAAAGTCGAAGATATACTTTGGTAGTGATGATGAAGGTGAGAGAGAAGAAAGTAAGAAGAAACTGGGTTTCACTGCTGACTCAATGTCTTTAGAGGAACAAGAAGCTTTGGCTCTCAAATTATTAAATTCCATGCACTCATAAATTTTGACCTTTGTTGAGCTTAATGATATTTTCTAGTTTTTCTTTTTCTTCTGTGTCTTGAGTAAAGTACTAAAATGTAATGATCTTGAAATTTTAAGGTGAATTTAGAAGTATTATACCTTTTTTTTTCTTTTCAATATCATCCTTCTAAGTTTTACCTTCTAGCTTGGCTTTGACCGGAGAAAAAGTCTGCCTTCCGTGAAAAGGGCCGAGACCCGATCGGTTGGGCCGGGTTTTTTTGCCCGTTTTCATGTACCGAACGGAAAATCTTATTGAGGTCTTGATAATTAAGGACTCGTTTGAAATTACTTTTAAAATTATTAAGAGTGTTTTTGGTGAAATTGCTTGTGAAACCCGTCCTTAATAAAGAATGAGGATCCTCACCAAATCCTATTTGTGAGGATCTAAGGAAATCTTTAATCGTATCCGTTCATCGTAAATCGTGCGGTTAATTTTCGTTATGTACTATTTGTGTGTAATTTTAAATAAAAAATTTAAAATGATTTTTGACCGCATAATGTACGATGAATGAACACGATTAAAGGATCCTTAAGATCCTCACAAAGAGGATCTGGAGAAAATCCTCATTCCTTAGTAAAAATATAAGTAAATTCTAAAAGACACTTGAAGTATGTTATATGCTTCTTGCAGCAATTCAAGTGCTTTTAGAATCTAAAAACATTTTTCTAAAAACATTTTCAATCATTTTAAAAGCACATTTAGACGAGCTAATGAAAAGAAACATTCTCATTGGGACATGGAGTAATTTTCTCGCTGGGACATTTTCTTTAAAACATTCTCATAGTTTTCTTCAATGAATAACAACGAAAATAATCAACCAAAACAAAAGTCATTTAACTGATCAACGTTGTTACAATTTTAGTGTTGAAACAAAAATTATAGTGCATCTCCTTATTAAATAATAGTTAAATAACTAAACAATTTTAAATTTAATTATTTTATTTTGCATAAGTGATTTTGACGAATGACTTTAGTCTTTAGATAAGCCGTTCACATCTTCGAGTAACATTGCATGTGAGAAATGGAAGATAAAAAGTCGGAATAAAACTGTTGCTTGCATTCCGCATTCCCGTAAGCCAATCGTCCGTCGAGCTTCTCCATGTAAATGCTGGAACTTGGCAGCCTCCGCGTTAAAAGTGTGGGAGACTCGGTGTAAACAAGAAGTCAAAAGTAATTAAATACCAACCAAACCCAAGCAAACGTACACGCGTTTATTAGTACGTGAAAGCTTTTTAATGGACAATGATTGTCTGCCATCCACTTCCAATGTCCTCTCGTGCCCTTCTGTTTGTGTGGTCACGGTTAAGCCACGTCAACATTTTATATTACTATTCATTTTTGTCTTATTATATCTATAAAAAAATAATATAAAATATTGACGTGGCTTAACCGTGACCACACAAAACAGGAGGGCACGGGGAGAGCATCGGAAGTGAAGGGCAGACAATCCTTGTCCCTTTTTAATGCTCGTATTTTGGCTCATCATCCTAAACTTGACTATATGCTCGTCATATATTTAATTATCTGATACGTATAATGTTATTCATACTATATTTTTATATCACATTTCTATATCATTTTAGATGACATCTGATATGGACTGCCACATCATTTGAAAAATTTGCAAAACCTAAGGAAATGAAGGAGAAAGACTCTTCATATATCACAATCAACATTTAATTAACTAGTTTTTCTTAATTATTAGTTTATTAAATAATGAATTAAATTTTAAAAATCTGATTAATTCAAATGATGTGGCTGTCCACATCAAATGCCACCTAAGATGGCATGAAAATGTGGTACAAAAACATGATATAAATAGTATTACTCATCTAATACGTATTCTTTCACTTAACTTTGGTTAATTTTTTTCAAAATTGAAAAAATAACATTTAATGTGAGAGTTAATTAGAGTTAGGTTAAAAGACACATGACAAACAATTAGGTGTATGATAATCATACATTATAATTATGATGGTGAGCAAAAAACTCTCTCGCTTGTGGTTAGAGACTCTCTCTTATACTCACTTAAAATTCTCATTTTTCCCTTGTGCATATCAATATAAATTATTGCTTGTACTCTTTTTCTTAAATTATTGAACCGTACGGTTTTTGGCACATTAAAAAATTTGAGCTTTATTTTCTAAGAAGGAAAGGAACTAGCTTTGACGTGTGTTTTGGAACAGAAGATTGTGCGAGCATGAGGTGATTTAACTTTCTAAGATTCTTATTGTGCTTTTGAAAATTGTTACTTTTTTCGTTTGATATTTTTTATTGTTGAGAGTTTGATTCCTAAGTTCTGGAATCAAACATAATTACATACATAGGCAGTTGGATTATTATTTTTTATTTTAACAATTGGTTTGGACTGAAAGCTTAAATTTCTTTTAGTATCAAAGTTATGTTATTTACGTATTAAGCTCAATAACATAATGTAGCGACACATTGGTTGGAATCTCAATTTTCTTTAAGTAGAACACCAATATTAAAAAAGAAGCGTGACTGAGAACCAGTATGCTTCTTCCTCGAAGAAGAAGAATGAGGCATCATCTGCCTCCTACCCTTATAATGATGCACATATTGTTTTAAGCTCACATTCAAACTTAAGAGTTTGCCGAATCCTCGTTGACGTAAGAACTCCGTCAAGGTCACTTCTATCAATAATCCATCGAGTTTTATGGTAATTTTATTAATGTGTATTTGTAAAGGTCGAACCTTTAAGCTTTATGGTCAATTGGTAAAGAGGAAATAGTACGGACTAGCCAGTCGATCAAGGGAACTTCCCCTCTAAGTCAAGGAGAAAACCCTGAGCGGTGAAGTGAATAGCGAATGCCCTTCTCTTCTTTTACCATTTGATTGCTTAATGGGGTGGAGATACCTTCTCTTTCGGTGAAAAAGTTGCTACTGATTTATCTCCTTTTCTTCAAATGCATGGTGGTCATTATTTTTGTACAATTCCTCAGACGTCTCGTTTCTTTGTTCGTACTTTTGCCCTTTTGAAAAACTGATCATGTTTCTGTAAAATAGTGGTGTTTTGTGAACTGGGTTTGTAGGCATATGCTGTGGAGTGAGACTGTGAGAGTGAGTGAGATGATGGAGGCTTCAGGCAAGAAGAAGACTGAAACGGACCGTTTCACTGATACCGTGTTTTCTTGGTCACTTGAAGACATTCTCGATGAGAATCTGTACAAGAACCAGGTATGTTCTTCCACATCTACTCATAAGTTCTCATTTTTTGAGTTTTAGTTTGCAAAAAGGCGTTACTTTACTCGTTTTTCTTAATATTTTGGTGAGATTGTCACTGCATTTATTTATTTATTTTATTTTTTTTATTGCAAAAACCCACAAAAATTGAGAACTTTTCGACCACCACAGTGAGCAATTTGTAATGCTAATGACTAAGTTGAGTTTCCATCGTAAAACCGATCTGTAGTACGAGGAGTAGCTAATTACTTATATGTTGACGTGGGATTCACTCTTGACGGCTAAAAGCTTTGGACTTGAATCTTGAAGCTATTGCATTGTAACGATTCTTGAGTTTTGGTGTAGCAAAAGACGATTCCTTTGTCTTGCGTTGTTTTTTCTTTTCTTTTTTTTTTGGAATGCTTAGTTGCAAAGACCACAGAAGGTTGAAAACTTTGCACCACCTTAACAAACGATTCGTAAAGTTGATAGCTTTGGTCTTGAATCTTAAAGCCTACTGCAAGAGCAGGATTGTTTTTTTTATTGTAGAACATATTTTCTTAATTTAATTCTCTAATTTGTATTGCATTGTAATGATTTTGAACTTTTTAACGGTTTTAGGTGGAAGAGATTCCGAAATCATTTCAATCGGTTCAGCATTATTTTGGGTCTTATTTATTCCCCTTGTTGGAGGAAACTAGAGCTCAAGTGCATTCTAGTATGGAAACTATTTACAGAGCACCATTTGCTGAAGTAGTTGCTTTTGAAGAAGCAAAACCGCATGGGAAAAATCTATATGATGTCAAGGTTGATTACTGGAGAAACAGGTTCAGTGATCGCGGAAAGGAGCCATACAAAACATTGCCCGGGGACCTTTTTATCTTAGCGGATGCTAAACCTGAAACTGTTTCTGATTTACAAAGGGTTGGGAGATCATGGGCTTTTGTATCAGTCACTAGAGTCTCAGAAAACGATAACGAGGATGATAGTACTTCACTTTCTTTTAAAGTCAAGGCATCAAAGGAGTTTGAAGACGAAAGTAGCGCTTGGAAATCATTGGTTTTGGTATTCCTTGTGAATTTAATCCCTAATGGCAGAATATGGAAATCATTGAACATGTTCGGAAATCTGAAGATTATCAGGGAAGTTCTGCGCACCGATTTTGTGGTAAGACCTTAAGGAATAATACTGTAGGTTTTATGCAGTTTAGTTAGCATTGCATAGACCAAACCTACACTGTCTCTAATAAGTATGACATAAAATCATCATGTTTAAACAAGTATCCAAGAAGTTTTCTTTTCCTTTTATCTTTTGATCGAAGTCTTCGGTTGTATAATGATTTATTTTCAATTTTTTAAAACTCTCTCTAATTCTCTCTAAATCTTAATCCATGCCCCCATCAACTTCGTTTGATATTTTAAATGGGATAATATGTTTCAACACTGATATTGTTGGAATTGAGTGAAACTCTTGTGTTGGTAACAGGCTCAGGAAAACTATCACCTTCGTTCTGAAACGAATGATGACATCCGGGATAAGTGGTTAGCTGAGAGTTTATCTGCTGGATTGAACGAGTCACAAACAGGGGCAGTTGTGGCCTGTCTTGAAATGCTGCAAAGTGATTCCAAGTCTGGTGTGCAACTTATATGGGGTCCTCCTGGGACAGGAAAAACTAGAGCCACCGCTACTCTGCTTTTTACTCTGTTACGGATGAACTGTAGGACGCTCATTTGTGCCCCAACAAATGTCGCAATAACTGAAGTGGCTTCTCGTGTTGTAAAGATGGTGACTCAAGCAGAGTCTAATGCCATGTTTTGTCCTCTGGGACAAATTCTTCTGTTTGGGAATAAGGAGCGACTCAAAGTTGGTTCAGACATTGAAGATATATATATGGATAACCGTGTCAAAAGGCTTGGCGAGTGCTTGGGGCCGCTGACTGGTTGGAGTAGTTGCTTTGCTTCCATGATCGGTTTTCTTGAAGATTGCGTTTCTCATTACCATATTTTCCTGGAAAATGAGTGGGCCAAAGAGAAAGGACAAACTAGTGGCAGTGAACCGACTGAGAAAGAATACAGAAGTGATAGTGAAGTTAGCAAGGGGATGTGCAAATCGTTTCTTGAATTTTTCAGAGAGAGATTTGTCTCTACTGCATCACCCCTAATATATTGCATTTCTACCTTCTGTACTCATATAGGCAAAAATTACATATTGGAACGTAATTTCCAAAATATGACTTCACTCGTGGGCCTGCTTGATTCCTTTAAATCATTATTGTTTCAAGGGAATGTTGTTTCTCAGAGACTGGAAGAGATTTTCTCTCGTTCAGAAGTTGAAGATGTGCCTGAGCCATTTATGGATGACTCGTTTCTTTTGTACACGAAGAGAAGGGAATGCCTTTCAGTATTACATGTTCTACAGGATTCTCTTAGAGGGCTTAGTCTTCCAAATTTTCAGAACCAAGAATCTCTGATGGAGTTCTGTTTTCAAAGAGCTTCCTTAATATTTTGCACTGCATCCAGTTCATATAAGCTGCATAGAGTGGCAATGGATCCACTGACCCTTGTTGTTATTGATGAAGCTGCACAATTGAAAGAGTGCGAATCAACTATACCGCTGCAACTTCGAGGTGTGAAGCACGCTGTTCTTGTTGGTGATGAATGTCAGTTACCAGCTACGGTGCAAAGCAATGTACGTTGATGCTACTTGGTTATACACACACACACATATCTACAGCCTCTGTTTATCTTATTGCAATTTTTTGTTTCACTCATATGATTTTGCGTTTATGGATAAATTTCTTTTGTTGCATAGGTGTCTGATGAAGCTGGGTTTGCAAGAAGCTTGTTTGAGAGGTTGAGCTTAATGGGTCACTCCAAACACCTTCTAAATATGCAATACAGAATGCATCCATCAATAAGTTTCTTCCCAAATTCTAATTTCTATTATAAGCTGCTCTGGGACGCTCCAAATGTTCAAAGTAGAAGCTATGAGAAACACTATCTTCCTGGATCAATGTTCGGTCCATATTCCTTTATTAATGTTATTGGTGGAAGAGAGGAGAAAGATGAGGATGGACGTAGTCGGAAGAATATGGTTGAGGTTGCCATTGTATTGAAAATACTACGGAATCTGTACAAAAGTATGTCAAGCTCGGGAGTCATGCTTATTTTCTTTTTCTTTTTCAGTATTTCAATGATTTCAATTTCCAGATGTTTTCTTTTCAGAACAGTTATCGGTCCTCATTCTTTTTTTAATGGCTAATTACTTCTTGGTTTCGATAAAACTGAACATTTCTCTTTTGGCTTTCTCTTTGTGTGCAGAATGGGTTGGCTCAAAAGAGAAGCTCAGTATTGGTGTGGTATCTCCTTATGCTGCACAGGTAGTTGAAGTTCAGGAAAAACTTGGAAAGAAGTATGATAAGCTTGATGGCTTTACAGTGAAGGTGAAGACAGTTGATGGGTTTCAGGGCGGGGAAGAAGACATAATTATTATGTCCACTGTACGATCCAGTAAAGACCAATCTCTCGAATTCATATCGAAACCTCAAAGAATTAATGTCTCTCTTACAAGAGCTAGGTATGGTCCGATTCAAATTTGTGTTATTTATTGTATCCTTGTTGCTTGTTATTAATAACTTCAGCTCCGCTATTGACTTCAGGCACTGTCTCTGGATTTTGGGGAATGAAAGAACGCTATCTAATAGTGAATCTGTTTGGGAGGCCTTGGTCTTTGATGCCAAAATTCGTCAATGCTTTTTTAATGCTGATGAAGACAAGGATTTGGCAAAATCCATATTAGAGGTGAAGAAAGAGTTTGAGCAATTTGATGATTTGCTTAATCCTGACAGCTTACTTTTCAGCAATAAAATATGGAAGGTAATGCTCTAGGTTTTATTATGTTTGTTTTTCTGAGCCTTAATTTTCGAGTACTCCCTATAGTTTGAGGTTATCAATCTCTGTTCTGAAATTGGAATTGCTGGTGTCTTGAAGCTTTTCTATAACCATTTTTATAATTTCTTGTTCCCCCAATCTGTTATCTTTAGGTACTTTTCAGTGATATTTTCCTGAAGTCGTTCAAAAAACTGAAGTCGATCCGTTTGAAGAAGTCAGTGCTTAATCTTCTACTTAAGCTTTCTGGTGGCTGGAGACCAAGAAAGCGAAATGTTAATGTACAGACTATCAGTGGAAACTCGTCAGCAATGTTGAGGCAGTATAAAGTTGAAGGTCTATATGTTGTCTGCTCAATTGACATTGTGAAGGAGAAGAAATACATTCAAGTATTAAAGATTTGGGACATATTGCCTCTAGAGGATATCCCCAAATTGAAAAATCGCTTGGAGAGTATTTTCCATAGATATACAGATGATTTCATCAATCGTTGCAATGAGACGTGTCTTGACGGGTATGTTGTTTGGCATTCTAGGCCTTTTCTTTTTCTTTTTCTGGACAAGCATGAATTTGTAGTAGCAAATGCTCTCTTTCTGTAGTCATATGAAGATACAAAGTTTTCCTAATTTTTTTGAAATTTTCAAGTAATTCTTGTGCTTCTTTATCATTTGAACAGTAATTTAGAAGTTCCGAATAGCTGGCCACCCACTTTGGATATTCCCCGGTTTAAGGACCTGAGCAACAATGAGGCTGAGAGTGACTTAGTTGGTGACACTGCTGATGGTAGAAGTTATGTTGAGAATTCACAGGTCAACGAGAGTTTATTGCTCATGAAATTTTACTCATTGTCATCTGGTGTTGTGAATCACTTGCTGTCTGACCGCGAGGGTAGAGAGTTAGATCTTCCATTTGAAGTTACTGACCAGGAAATGGAGATTATCCTTTATCAGAGAAGTACCTTTATACTTGGAAGGTCGGGAACAGGGAAAACCACTGTTTTAACCATGAAATTATTTCAAAAAGAACAATGTTTTCGGTTGGCAGAGCAAGGATGCCTTAGTAGTCAAAATAGCAGTGTTGGGCAGAGTTCTTCAGCTACACAGGAAAGAACTCTACACCAGCTTTTTGTGACCGTGAGTCCTAAGCTATGTTTTGCCATCAAGCAACATGTTCTGCACTTGAAAAGGTATGTGGATTATTCAACAAAAGTTTTGTTCTTATCCCTGACTTATTTTACATTATTGTTCTGTAAATTTCAAACGTCACATCAGCCACCTTAAGTTACTAAACTTTTGTATGTCTACAGTTTTGCATGTGGTGGAAGTGATTCGGCTGAGAAAAGTTCGATTGATATGGCTGATTTTGATGAAGAGGAGTCTCAATTCAAGGATATCAAGGATTCATTTCAGGATATTTCTCCCAAATCTTACCCTCTTGTTATAACATTTCATAAGTTCTTGATGATGCTTGATGGAACGCTGAGTAATTCATACTTTGATAGATTCCTCGAGGCTCGGACACTTACTCACGGTCAATTGAGAAGCTCAAGATCCGTTGCATTGCAGACGTTTATAAGGACAAAGGAGGTTAATTATGATAGATTCAGTTTGTCTTACTGGCCCCATTTCAATATGCAGTTAACGAAGAAGCTTGATGCTTCCAGAGTCTTCACAGAGATAATATCTCATATTAAAGGTGGTATTGGAGCCATAGAAGCAGGTGATGGTAAACTCAGCCGGGAGGATTATGTTCACCTGTCAGAGGGCCGGGGTTCCATTTTAAGCAAGAAAAAGAGAGGAGAAATATACGATATTTTTCAAGCTTACGAAAAAATGAAGATGGAAAATGGTGAATTTGATCTGGCTGATTTTGTAATTGATCTTCACCATCGTCTCAGGCATGGAAAATTTGTGGGTGACCAAATGGATTTTGTTTATATTGATGAGGTTCAGGATCTGACAATGAGTCAAATTGCTCTGTTTAAGCATGTGAGCAACAATGTTGAAGAAGGCTTTGTCTTTTCTGGTGATACAGCACAAACAATTGCCAGGGGTATTGATTTCCGGTTCCAAGATATACGGCATATCTTTTACAAGAAGTTTGTGTTGGAATCTAGAGGGAATGAGCCTCACGAAAGAAAAGAAAAGGGACAAATATCAGAAGTTAAACAATTGACTCAAAACTTCCGTACCCATGCTGGTGTATTGAAGTTATCACAGAGCATTGTTGAACTACTTTATCGTTTTTTCCCCCAATCTATTGATATTTTGGTACCTGAAACCAGTCTGATATATGGGGAAGCTCCGGTAGTGCTTGAATCCGGAGAAGATGAAAATGCAATCATAAAAATTTTTGGGAATAGTGGAAATGATAGTGCAAATATAGTTGGCTTCGGCGCAGAGCAAGTTATTTTGGTCCGTGATGATGATGCTAGGAAAGAAGTTTCCAAATTTGTTGGGAAGCATGCTCTTGTTCTGACCATAGTGGAATGCAAGGGGCTTGAATTCCAGGTGATTACTCTATTTGTTTACTTACTTTTTAGTTTTAAGAAAGCTCTAATCACGAGAAGCGTGATTTCTTCTTTTCATCTATGTCTTCTTTTTCCCTTGCGAAACTTTTTGCTGCTGCCCTCTTTACTTCTTATGATATTTTCAGTTCGTTGGATCTTGATATGTTTTTTGAGTTTATATTTGGTTTCACTTATGACATTTATGACTTGTTTGCAGGATGTACTCTTATACAACTTTTTTGGCTCATCACCAATGAAAAGGAAATGGAGCGTGATATATGATTATATGAAGGACCAAGATTTACTTGATTCCACATTGCCCCAACGCTTTCAACCGTTCAGTGAAGCCAAACACAACATCTTATGCTCTGAACTCAAACAATTATATGTTGCCGTTACTCGGACAAGACAGAGGTTGTGGGTTTGCGAGAATGCAGAAGAGATTTCCAAACCAATGTTTGACTATTGGAAGAAGAAATGTCTTGTACAAGTTAGGCAACTGGATGATTCCCTTGCACAAGCAATGCAAGTTGCAAGCAGCCCCGAGGAGTGGAAATCACGAGGCATTAAGGTTTGCATAATTACTTATGTTGTAACGCCATTATTTTCTAGTCATATTGACAAATTCCTCTCTTTGTTTGTTGCAGCTATACCAGGAACATAACTATGAAATGGCCACAATGTGCTTTGAAAGAGCTGGTGATGCTTATTGGGAAAGAAGGTCCAAAGCTGCTGGCCTTAAAGCTATCGCTGATCGTATGCGGACTTCAAATCCTGAAGAGGCCAATACCATTCTTAAAGAAGCTGCTGAGATATTTGATGCTATAGGCAAGGCAGATTCCGCAGCTAGATGTTTTTCTGATTTGGGAGAGTATGAAAGAGCAGGTATGACTCTTTTAACACCTGCTATTTGTCCTCTTTCTGGTTAAATATTTTCTTTAAAGTTTAAAGTGAATTGCAATAGCATTTTCTTCTATAAAAAAAAAGTTGAAATAGCATTCTGATAAAATTTGGTTTATCATTTGTTGGACTTTAATCCTCCGAAAATCTTGCATCCCAGCCTGTAATTATTTGTACCATCGCTTAATCTAGAAAACTCGAGTTTGATAAAGCAAGTTTTCTCATCTTATAACTTTTAATGATGCAGCTAGGATTTATTTGGGTAAATGTGGTGACTTGGAAAGAGCTGGAGAATGTTTTTCTCTGGCAGGATGCTATCAAGATGCTGCGGATGTGTACGCTAAAGGCAATTTTTTCTCCGAGTGTCTCACTGTTTGTGCCAAAGGAAAGCTATTTGAAATGGGTTTGAAATACATCGAATATTGGAAGGAGCATCCAGTAGAGGACACTGCTGTGGCCACAAGAAGAGAAGGAATAGATAAAATTGAGCAGGAATTTCTGGAGAGCTGCGCACTTCACTATTGCGAGTTGAAAGATAACAGATCCATGATGAAGTTTGTTAGAGCTTTTCATTCTATAATTTCAATGCGAAACTTTTTGAAGAAGTACGCTAGTCTTGATGAGCTGCTTCTGTTGGAAGAAGGATTTGGAAACTATCTTGAGGCCGTAGAAGTAGCAAAACTGAAAGGCGATATTCTACTCGAAGCTGATTTCCTTGAAAAGGCTGGCAAGTTCAGAGAGGCATCGTTGCGTATTCTATTCTATGTGCTTGCCAACTCTCTTTGGTCATATGGCAGCAAGGGGTGGCCTATTAAGCAGTTTTCACAGAAGAAGGAGCTTTTATCAAAAGCCAAGTCGTGTGCTAACAATGAGTCTGAAAGCTTTTATGAGTTTGTTTGCACTGAGGTAGACATTTTATTAAATGAGCAGAGTAGCTTGGCTCTGATGAAAAACCAAATGAATGCCTGCGAGAGACATAGGAGTATTGGAGGTGAAATTTTGTCGGCTCGAAAAATACTGGATGCTCATCTTTCTTCAAGTGCCAATAAGTACTTGTGGGAAAAAGAATTGGTTGATGATCCAGTAAAGCGTTCAGAAGACAGGATATCTGAGAACCAGGTTTCTATACATTCGTTGATGTACATCTGGAACTTTTGGAAGGATAAAATTGCTTACATGATTGAATGTCTTGGATGCCTTGATACCCAAGATTTTAATGAATCCCAAAAGAATGGAGAATTTTGTTTTAATTACTTTGGAGTATGGGGGTTGTATCAGAATTTTAATCCAGTCTATGTGCTACTGATTTCTGATGCTGATTGGGCTCGAGGCCTGGACAAAAGACATCATGGGAAGTTGGTCTCCATTGATGCTCGCCAGCTTGCTTCAGCCGCTAGGAAGTATTGGAGTTCAGAATTGCTCTCAGTTGGCATGAAGGTTCTGGACAAACTTGAAGTGCTTTACAAGTTTCCAATGAAGAATCATGATCCATCGTTCTCCCAAAGCTGGTGTCTTATCCATATCCGTGAGGTCGCAGTATGTCTTTTGCAATCAAAATATTTGAAGCTAAGGGATCAAGATACTAAGACGCTGCGGAGGTTTGTTACTTCTTCGACTGAGAGTGTTGTTGCTCGAATATTTCCCTTGGATTCAAGGAATTCCGTGACAGAGAATATGATTTCCTTTAGAAGAAATGATGCTTCAAAGAATGTCCTGAAACAAGTAATAGTTGAGTATACCAGCCCGAAGAACACGCTGTCTCTTGGGAAAATTGGAAGGCTTCTAATGGTCATTCTGGGGTCTGGTAAGCTGAATAGTGAACTGTATGAGCTTGTGAAAGATCTGGAGGGCAACTCACCATGGATGGCGTTTATCAGGATTCTCTGTAGGGATATTAAACCGGGAAATGCCAGTCAAGTACCGAGAGAGGTGTCAGTTATATGGAGGTTACATGAAGCTTTAGTTGAAACTTATAGGTCAAACTGGAGGGTTAATGATTACATATCGCCTGGTTGCTTTATGTACCTTGTAGAGCGCCTTGTGACTTTGGCAACTTGCTTTCAAGGTTTTGTTATCACTACACGCTCCTGTTTTGTGGAATGGCTTCTATACCAAGATGAAGACACCAACTTGAGTCTCATGACGGCCGATGTGCGACCATCTTTGAATGAGATTGTTGGTTTTGTGATTGATGTGGTTTGTGGCTGCATTTTCAATAAGGAAGATATGATTGAATGGATCAAAAAGTCCAGCACAAATTGGAAGAACGATTATTCACCACTCTTGCTGAGATTGGTTGTGCTGCTTTGCATGGTTTGTGTGAACTTTGGGAAGGGTCTACATATACTGGATGATTTGCTGGGGAGGAACGATATCAATCAACTGCTTCCGTGGGAGTTTTATGCTGTCCTTAAAAGCAGGAGGAGCCGCAAATCCCCAATCATAAATGTGCATGTGCTAGTAGCTGCTGCTCTTCAGAAGATCGGAAATACTATGGTAATTGCAAGTTTTGGGGTCAATTGTTCAAGGTTCTTATGTTCAGATGCCATCTTTGTGGACATGAAGGCCAGCCAGTCCCAGTCCAGGGATGACATCTATAGAAAATTGTTTCCTAAGCTTCCCGTCCTGCAAGCTTCACACGCTAAATCTGTTGAAGCAGCAGCTACTCAATCTAGCAGTCGTGCCATTTCTGAGGAGGGGAAGAATTGTAAGATTTTGCCTTCAAACTCTGGTGTGGTGGAACCATTAGAGACTAGTGTTGGGGACAGTCAAAATGCAGGTGAGGAACATTCTGTATCGAACGAGTCAAATCCAAAGTCTTCGCCCGCGGACGCTGCTTCTGGATCCCAGCATGGCAGCAGTAAGGAAACTGGAAACCAGGGGAAGAACAATGGCCAGAACAAGGAAGTCGGTGCCGCGTCTGGATCCCAACGTGGCAGCAATGAAACTGGAAACCAGGGGAAGAAAAAGGGCAAGAACAAGAGACCCAAGAAGAAAGGAGGCAGAAAGTAGCCATCTGATCTCTGATTATATACATACATATATGTATGTATTTTGTTTTGCTGTATAAGAATTTGATGTTTCTGTTGGTATGATATTGACCTTTTAATTTGAGTACATCTCTCGAATGTTGTATTAAATGATTGAAGTTTTAGGAATTAAAAGAGAATGTTTGAATGTGTAATATTTGAGGCATGCAATTGAGTTCAAAAAAATTAATGAACACTATGTTTTAAGAATAATTGAAATTTCATCGTTTCAATTGAATAGGCAAATGGTTTTAAATTGAATTGATATCGAGACTTACAACATAGATAGTTCGAGTCGTTGAAGTTCAATCTGGAATGTTCCACAACTAATCGAACTTGATGCCTGTATGGATGTAAAACCATATATTATGAAGTAGAATTATTAAGGTGCAAAAATTTTATTAACTGGATAGAAATGTAACAACAATGTGTTAACTTGTACAACAAGTTATTTTCTACTTTCAAACACCTCTCAAATTCAAAACAACAGATGAACAAAATGAGTCTTTCAACAGAGGCAGACCCTTAAAAACTCAATTCTCGTCACTCCCGAATACCTTGACTCTCGACAATGGCTTCCTCAAGTAGCCATCCACCTCGAACTTCTTCGGGGAAAGCTGCCGGTACTTCTCAAACTGCTCCGTCGCCTCCGCATTCCGATCAAGCAAACTGTAAATCATCCCACGGCAAAAGTACGGCCGCAAGTCTTTCGGGTCCTCCTTTACCAATTCATTGTAGCTATTCAATGCGTCCTCCACATTCTTCTGCAGGAACTGAACCTGCGCCATTATCAATTTAACGTCTCGAGCCTCCTTCGCCTTGTTCTCCTCCTCCGCAACCTGCAATGCGTCCTCCAATCGCTTTATCACGGCCTCGCCTTCGCCGCAGCGGTCCATCAACAGGGCGTTCTCGAACAACGCCTCGAATGACAAGGGGTTCGAGGCGAGTATTTCCTCGAACACTCGGCGGGCACTTTCGTTTTCGCCCATTTCGCTGAGAACTCTAGCCATCATGAATTTCCACTCGGTGGCGGAGGGTTGCGCCGCGACCAAGCGCTGCAGGATCTTGAGCGCCTCGTCGTCCTCGCCATTTTCGAGCTTCTGCTGCAGAAGCGATTTCAGGGCATCGATGGCTTCCGAATTCGAACCCAGGAAGTCGGATAATGGCGATGAAGATTGGTTGTTCTCGTCATCTGTGACCGGGGTCGGCGCTTCTTCGGTCAATGCAGGCGGAGGTTCGGCTCTGGCGAGCAAAGTCGAGGCCTTGGTGGTGAACACGGCGGCGGTGACTCCGATGAGAACGGCCGCTTTGGCGTAGCGTTTGAGAGTTTGGAGAATCGGGTTTGGGTTGCTGTGGGAGTTACCTGTGAGGAGGGTGCGGTGGTGGTGGGCGGAGGAGGAGGCTGTGACTTTGAGGGCAGGGACATTGTGGGAATTGGGAGGGGCAAAACGGAGATGAGAAGGTTGGGTTGGTTTAGTGGGAAGGCGTTTGTATTGGAAGAAAGAGGAGGATGAAGAGGAGGAGGCGAGAGTGGAGGAGGAGTTCATGGTTGAGCCGGCGGCTGAGGAGTTGCGGAGATGACAAGTATTGGGAGGTTTTGTTCGGGGTTTACGGTGGTAGGTGGGGGAGTGTCAAAGTGTGACTTTTACTCCGACTGACGGTTTGGTCATCTACGCAAGGGCCACTCCCATTAATCATCAAAGTCCAAATAAATAAGCCCAATTTCGAACTACGTTCGGTTTGATCTCGAAATGAATACGTAAGCAATCTAGTACGCATTTCTAGATGCAACTACAGAATTCAGATCATTAAATAAACTTCTGGTTTATTCTGAGTCAAATTTATTAAGAACTACAAGTAATTTAATTCTATTATATAAATCCGTAGGCAATTTGAGATTTTTCTCAAAGTACAACCACAAAATCAAATTAATCGACCATCCCTTTTCAGTTAGAATCAAACGTTCTCTCCTTGAAACGAGGGAAGAGACATATTTGTTTTGAATGGATCGAACTCGAAATTAATAAAACTCGATACATATGAATAAGTCCCATCTTTATGGTCATTTTATTTTTCCATGGCGCAGGCCGTTTGCACGGAGGCTGGCATGCTTGCTTTGAGGGACACAAGGGTTCACGTAACGCAAGAAGATTTTGAGATGGCGGACGGCCAAGGTAAAGAAGAAGGAGACCGAGAAGAACATGTCGTTGCCAAAGTTAAGGAAGTAAATTACGTTATCATGGTGTTCTTTGAGCAATGTAGGCATGAAATCGATCTTCTTTGAGTACTACATAATTGTAATGCTAAATATATTTACAGCAAAATGGAGAACAAATGTTACATGGCTGGTTTGTAGAGCGTCTAGACACCGTATTATACTCCCAACCTCTTAACGCCGCATTCAGAGCAGAACTTGGAGGTTTCTCTCAAGTACGGCGCCCCACATTCATCGCAAAACTTGGCAGGACTGGATGGCTGAAATAAAATATGATCAGTAAGGAACATTTCTGATGTGGTTCGTCAATATATGCTTCATCAGATCAGACAATCTTCATTCTAAACATAGCGAAAACATCAAGAGATGAAGGTGAATTAGAAACATAGAGTGCGAAATAGAACTCACCAAGACATGCAAACGTCCCCCTACATGGCCTCCAGTGAGGGGTTGTAAGCAAACCATGTGTTGCGACATGGTTGGGGAATGGTGAGCATGAGTGATTTCAGGCAGGTGCGAGGTAGCACCGCATTGATGGTTTTGAGAATAATGAACAGCATGCGGACTTTGGTTGATGGATTGGTGATGAGTCTGGTGAACAGGCTGAAACTGAGGCTGGTGCGACAAGGGTTGCATATGATGCTTACACGGAGGAGTTGTTTGCTGATTCTGTGGCTGCCAAAAGGAAAAAGATAAATCTCCATTCTCGGATGGACAAATGTTTTGTATGTGTACAGAAACACACGGAGGGCCAAAAACAATCTTGACATAGGCCGATGATGCTCTTCTCAATATATTGACAATCCAATCAAACACAAAACATTCTTGCACTAATCATTAAGCCTAAAAATAACTCTTACTTCACTTACGGAGCGGAATCCCTGAGCAGCAGCCAACATGGAAGAATTATCAGTGCCAGGAAATGTCTGAAAAGGATAATTAAGAGGATGAATCGATAACTCCACAGTAAATTTCCTTCTATAAGTAGCACAAAATTTAAATTTTTTCATCATGCAATCGTAATTTTTGGATGAACTCAAACATGACCACGTGGAGAAAGACCTATGTCATTTCAAGTTAACAGCCAACCACATTTTCAGAACGTTCTTTACTGAGTTGTATTCTTCACGGTTGATCTGACCTTAAATTCATTGTAAAAGTTAATGAAATGAACCAAGTATTGTAAAATAAACCACATTAAGCTTACAGGTAAACTGGTGATACTATTAGGCGAGGAGTTTGACGCAACACGTCTATACTTGTGTCTTGGAGAGTAGAACTTAAAGTCTCGAGCATAGACTGCTACTTCATCCCGACCAGTCAACCGTTTGAACCTGTAGCAAAGAGCACGAAAATGATGAAGGGAAAAGATTTAGGCACTCTTAATATGGAGTGTGGTAAGCTAACACTGCCCAAAGAGCATGTATTGCCCAATGAAAAGCATTGATCAAGTCTTCAGAAATGGAAAGATCATAAAACATATCACACTAACTTACCACTCAGCATCATCAGTAGGCATCCTAGTAGGCTTTTCAACAATATCCAAACCATTGACTACCACAAAACGAACTCGCTTCTCTTCTTGTATGACCAACTCTGGAAATCTCGTCCTCGTTTCAACGGATGTGGCCAACTCTCTTCTTCTAAATGTACGCGGTCCTTCAGAAAGATACAGGCAAATCAGATAATATCACGAAAAAACGACAAGGTTCATACAGGTAAATTGGATTCAGCAATCAGCATAAATGTTAGTAAGTGTAGAGAAACTGAATACCTGTTTTGGGAAACTTCTTCGCCAAGCATCTGTACAACCCACCAGATGCTTCAAGGGCAACCCCAATTGTCTTCTCTCGAAATCCACTCAAGCTCGAAAGCCTAATATTCGCATCGTTAACCAAAGTTTGGTACATATTTGCCACATACATCAATGGCAAAGCCAGCCTGGGGTCACCTTCATACCGCACCTCTCCAGGCTTCCTCTTGTTTAGTTTTTCTTGCCCAGAGTGAGACAGAGCACCATTGTACTCAGCAGAAGAAGCAGCCTCAGAATTAGGCACTTCAACCACATGTTCACTAATAAAATGATCCACAATCAGTTGCAGAAACCGTGCCCTAGCCGATTCGATAGGCGAAACATCTGAATCCAATCCAAATCCAAACGGGTTTGATTAAAAATCCAAACTTAGGATCACAACTACAAAAAAAGGGGAAGAAATTGTGTAAAAGTTGTTACCTTGAAGTGACAAGAGACAGTAGGGAGCCCTGGAAGTGGAAGAGCCTCCGCCACTGCTGGCGGAGCGATCGTCTTCAACTCCAAGGCGAACCGAGTGAAGAGGCAAAGAATTGGTATACGCTTCGTGCATACAGCCGTCGACAACGGCGCCGGAGCCGTCGTCCTCGCGGAGGTGGGTATCTTCAGCGACGGAATCACCATCGATGGAGTCGATCTCTGCGGCGGGGCGAGCAGCGTCGGCGGTGTTGAGGTCGTGAAGCGCGTTGCCAATATAGGAATTGGCGGGCGGCGATCTCATGGCGTAGTGCTGCTGAACCCTACTCCCCATTTCTTCAAATTTCAGTTCAACAACCAAAGCCGATGCCAGCCGTCCAAATTCATCGCCGCCGTCGATTCTGGACTGTAAATATCGAATTGCGAACTGCAAAGCAGAGAGTGGGAGGAGGAGGAGGAGGAGGAGGAGGAAGACACTGTGCTAATAAGGGAAGAAGGTGGTGGTGGTGTTTAATTAGTGCTTAGTGAAGTTCATTAGCGGATTAGTGGTGTGCTGTTCGAAGGCTAATTAAATTTAACGGCTATACAGACGACTGAGAGACGAGACATCCAAGGCTGAGACCGCACCTCTCCAAAAGCAGTTTCCGAACCTCACTCCGACCTCCGCACCAGCTTCCAAGCCAGGTACACGGCTCTTGGCTTTCGGTCTTCTTATATGATTTGTTGTGGAGGAGGTGGAGGGATAGCATGGGCGCGCCCTCACGCTTTCTGCCGTGAACCTTTCCCTCCTCGTATTTCTATACAAATCATGTGATGTGTTATTAAATGCAAAATAAGCACGTCAAGTAACCATGCCCCTTATCGTTGAGCGGCACACGTGCTACAATAGCCGGGACAAAGGGTCGCAATCCCGCTGGGGTGTGCTAACTCTAAAAACCTGTCTTCATTTTGAATTGTAGGCTGCAACACGCCTACATGAAGCCAGAATCGCTAGTAACTACCAATCAATCACACAATAGTGAATTCGTTCCCAAGCCTTGTGAACACAGCCTGTCACATTATGGGAGATATCCATGTTCGAAGGTACGGCTAGTTACTAGAGTGAAGTCGTAATGGAAGGTGTGACTAGATCACCTCATTTTCATACCAAAAAGGAAGCGAGATACATCTTAGTTAAACTTGGAGATGGAAGTCTTTCTTTCGTTTCTCAACTGTGAAGTAAGATTAAGCTCATGAGCTTATAATCCTAGGCCGGAACAAGTTTATGAGATCCCCTTTTTTATGTCATATGTCCCTCCATGTGGTGACATGGGAGAGTAAAAAATGAAAGAGAGGGATGGGGTTTCCCTCACTTTTGGCATGGCAGGCTCCTAGTGGGAGGACCGCACAGAGGACTATTAGAGCACGCCTTGATAATTGCATCATTGTGCCTCTGGGTTGACGGCTCTCAACCACATGGATAGTTCAATTTGATCATCAGTGCATTGGCATACTTCTCCTATTCAAACCGGAGTTTGAAACTAAACTTCTACTCAAAGGGATAGATAGGGAGATTCAGGTGAGATTCATGTCCGACCTTAACCTATGTTATTTTGAGGTCATATCTAATATTTAAAGTTTGCCTTGATTTGGGACCGCTCTCGTGGCCCATCTGAAACAGTGCTTACCCCTAGATGTCCAGTTAACTACTATGCCTCAATGCATTTCAGGGATAACCAGTTTGCTTTGAGTTCGAGTGTCGTTTCACCCCTAACCACAACTCATTTGTTGATTCTTCAACATCAGTTGGTTTGGACCTCCATTTGGTTTCACCCAAGCTTCATCCTGATTGTGGATAGATCACCTGGTTTGAGTCCATAAGCACGACAATTTTCTTATGAAGACTCGTTTTCACTACGATTCTGGTGGGTTCCCTTAACCAAGCCAATGCCTATGAGTCGCCCGCTCATTCTTCAACAGGCACGCAGGGCAGGAGTTGTGTGGGCCTGCTTTTAGAATGCCTAAAAATGCGTTTCTAGCCACAAAAGGGCTTCCGTCTACGTTTAGCGGAAAGCTCAAAATAATTTTCGGTAATAAAAGCGTTTTCTAAACAAGCACTTTCAAGGTATTTAAGACTTGAAAGTAATGATTTATTAGTAGTGAAAGATCATCTGTTTGATTTATATTGGAAAAGTAGCAAATTCCTACAAGATGATATGCCACCACAACCTCCGTGAACACTGAACATTACCTTACTTCCAACACCTCTGGTGTTGCCATCGCCACCACTGTTGTCTCCATCATCAAACTTCTCCCACTACCATGGTAGTCGCCACAGCCAGCCACATTCCCCCACATTGTGATAGCTGATTCTACCGGTATATTTGCCCCCATGACCACTGCCATTTTTGCCGCTGCTGCTGCCTCTCGTCCTGCCATTTTTAACCTAGATTAATAAAAATAATAACAAAATACAATATGATAATAGCCCGATATAGCCAGCCAAAGCCATCTTCCAAAGCACAACATAAATAATGGACTAAAGTAAAGGCAAAGGATTGCAAAGAGATAGAGCTACTTGAGGACATGGCCATCTAGGCTATAAGATGTCGAGTGAAATTTGCACCTTGCTAGTCAAGCGTTAGCTTCATCGAATTTAACTGAGTCTGGTCAATCATCTCTCCTTGTTCTGCATATTTTTCGAGTGAAGCTGGATAACCTAACAACGCCTTCCAATTAAGCTATTCCAGCTCCAACATGTTATCCAACTGTCACAGTTTCAGAATACCGCAGCTGGACAAGTTGAGAAGGAAATGTAAGAAGAAATTATGAATTCCAGAAGTAGTTTATAAAACTACCTCAACATTCATAAGTATTTGCTAGCTTATTTCATAAAGGCTACAGCGGGAAGAAAAAATAATAATAAATCTCACCCTGGGAAAAGATTAAAGATTTTGAGCGTCGAAGATTTTTCCTCCTCGGACCACAGAGAATCTTATATTATGCCTCAACACTCAACAGATAGCTGTCATATTTCACCCATCCGTCCAGACACCAGTTCAGAGTCCTTGTGTTCAAGTACTTCCAATTAGAAGAAGGCAAACCATTCATTGATTCTAATTAAGATACTCAACACATACCAGCCAACCAAGGGTGGATAACCAATTACCTTGTCGTCTCAAGTTCCTGCATTAGGAATCACGTGATCACAAGTTCCAGATATTAGACCCCTGTTTACCATTTCAATCTGCAACTCGATGGCTTCATCCAGATTCCCTAGCTTATAGTACTTTCTTAGCAGACTAATGCAGAGAATCTCGTCAGGAAGGATACCTTTCCCAATCATCTCATCAAGCAACATTTTTGCTTGTTTCACCTGGCCAAACTCAGAAAGCCCCCAAATCAAGGAAGTATATGCATACAGATCAAGTTCCATACCGATTTCTCTCATCCTATTTTGAATGCTCAAGGCTTCTTCAAGATTTCCATGCTTTAAGTTTCCATCCATTAGAGTGGTGTAAGCAGCTTTATCCGGAATCAAACCCTTATCTACCATTTCCTTAAAGAGCTCCTTAGCTGCTTCAATGCAATTATTTTTACAAAGACCATCAATTAAGGCTGTAAAAACTGCTACATTGGGTTGCAAACCAAGGTCGGGCATTGTCCTAAAATGACTGGTTGCCTCTTGGAACAATCCCTTTTTGCACAAACCATCAATTAATGCACAATATGTTACAACAGTGAGCTCAATACCATTGTCTCGCATTTCTTGTACAAGATTAAGCGCCGCCTCAGTTTTTCCGGCTTTGTAATAAGCATCCATAAGTGTTGTGTAAATGAAATGATTTGCAGTTAATCCATAACCCGTCATTTCCTTGAGCACAAGCTCAGACTCTTCAAGCTTATTTTGGGAGCAAAGACCCCAAATGATGGTTCCGTAGAGTAACAAATCTGGTTTAAAGCCTTTCCCCTTAATTTCATTCCAAATTTCCATAGCATTTTCTATCTTCTTAGCTTTAATATATCCATGAAGAAGGGCAGTACATATTTGCTGGTTAGGAATTATTCCAGATTTCTGCACTTCCCTAAAGACTTCTTCTGCTTCGTCCATCCTCCCGTCTTCACATAGCCCGTCAAGTAGAGCTGTATAGGTTACAATGTTCCAGCTAATCCCTGCCTGTAACATCTCACTTTTCAGCTTCAGTGCTTCACTCAAATTCCCAGATTTACAATTCGCATCAATCAATGAAGTATAGGTGAACTCATTAGGTAAAAGACCAACTCGTTTCATGTCCATAAAAATCTTGACTGCCTCTTGCATCATCCCTTCCTTGCAGAAGGCATCAATTAAAGTGCTATAAGTTATCACATTTGGCTTCAACCCATTATTATTCATCTCACAGAGAAAATTCAAAGCTTGGGGCATTCTATCAAATTTACAACAACAATTAATCAAAGAATTGAAGGTTATTGTGTCAGGTTCACAATCTGCATCCTTCATTTCTTCAAATATGCAAACCGAATCATCTAATAGTCCAACCTTCCCATATCCATCAATGAGAGAATTATATGTCACAACATCAGGTGTAAGGCCCATCCGTTTCATTTGTGCAAATAAGCAACTAGCAGTATCCAAATCGCCTTCTTTGCACATATAACCAATCATTATATTGTATGTGAAAACTGATGGATTAATCCCAGCCCCAAGCATATCCTTAAAAAACTTCCTTGACAAATTGCCCTTCCCCGGCTTTGATAACCTATGCAAAAGCGCATTACAAGACCGCACTTTTGGCAAAACTCTAAACTTCTTCATCCTCAAGAAGCATTCACTTGCTTCCTCAAGCATTCCAACCTCAACCAAAACACCAAACAATGCATCAAACACTCCAAATCCCACACGACAAACATTCCTCGTCCACCACAACACATCAAACACATCACAACCTGGCAATGCCCGGCTCAACAAGACCAACTCTCTAAGAACTTCATGGGCATCGACATACATTCTAGCAAAAAACAGTATGTGAACCAAAATACAATAAGACTCAGTAGTGTGGCGAAACCCAATTTGGGTTTTTGCCCACTTGAACAATTTCAACGCCAACTTGGGATCACCCTTCAGTTCCACCAAAAACCTGGACACCCAAATCGGCGCCAATGCCGAATCAAACAAGTTTACAATTCTGGGATCATCCCAGTAATCGTGTTGACAATTCTACTCAAAGAATCGGTATTTAAACTTTCGGGGAACGAACTGGGTTGGGATTTGGTGACAAACGGGAAGCGAAAAATGCATAAGAAACCGGTGAACCAAACAAATGGGCAAGCTATAAGAGAAGTAGCATGCGATGATGATGAAGTTAAAGAAGATAAATTGATAAAACGGCAATTAGATGGGTACTGAGGAATCGAAGAGAGAAGGCTTACTCGAGACGATGCGGAGGAGGAGGCTCTGCAACCCGTTCGGAAGAGATTGCGAAGAAACAGCAGCATCTCTGAGAAGAAGGAGATGAAGAAAAATAAAGAGGAGAAGAAAACGAGAGCGGCGGCTTCAGTGAGCTCCATTTTTACAGAAGAGAGTGGACCTCCATGGATTTGCAGATGAATACGAATAATGGGCGCTCATAGCTCTCGCGGTGAAGAAAACGAAGAGGCAATTGGAAAATGGTTGTTTAGGGTTTAAGGGTTTTGAGGAAGTTGGAAGCTTTGGGGAAGGATGGACTCTCAATCTCAAGTCTCAACTGATGAAATGAGCCTGGCTGCAAGAGAATTTACCGAGTACAGAGGCTGACCCGACAGGCCCGACCCGTTTTCAGCCTCTTTCAATAGAACCACTTATACACCTTTTTTTTTTTTTTTTGAAAGTTTAACGAAAAATTCCTGATACTGTTTATTTTAATAAAAAATCATATTTTTAAATTAAAAAGTCAATCCTAGTACTATTTACTTATGTTGTTCTTATCGTTAAAATTCAAAATTTTTAAGTCATTTTTATTAGTTTTTTTTTTATTACATTGGGCCCAAGCCCAAGCAAAACCACTTAACAAAGAAACATCAGCTTAAGGAGAGATTTTTCAATGTGATCAGCATACGGAGTGGTACACCATATGTCATTATACAAATTGTGGGATATATATGTTAAATGATTAATAACTTAAAAAATAAAATTTCTCACCACTCCCATAAAAACACGTGATGTACCATCCATATTCTCGTCACAATGAAAAATTTCTCCAGCTCAGCCCAAGTCCTCACAATCCCGGAAATATCATTTTCAAAATTCAGTACAAAGGGGATACACAAGACATGGCAACTTGGCTAGCCGGTTAGTTAGACGATTCACAAGATATGAAAACTGTATGCAACATGAGTTGTACTGTCAATAGTCGGATGATACTCAAATACACTAAAACCTTGTAATAATCACTAAAACCCCGTAACATTATGACAGAGTCAGAACGACCACCGTCCAAATCGGCATCCAAGTATCATTCCTAACTAACTGACCCAACTCATGTACGCTATAACCTAAAAGTATCCTTATTAAAAATGAATTTGTAAGCATCGTATCAACCCATGCAAGGGAACAAACAATAGAAAGATAACCGAAAAGGGGGAGGAAAAGAAAATGAGAGAATAAGAGAGAAATCTTATTGAGACCATCTATTGTTACACAGGCTGCAGCCATGCACTCAAACAAGCACAGCAAAAAATGCCTCAAGCACAAATGGAAAAAAAAAAAATCCCACTAAATCAGATTTAAATACAACGAAACTGTTTCGATTAACATAACAGAGACAAAAAGGCCTGCTAATCCCTACTTCTGTTAAGAAACCAGAGCAGCCATGTTTACTTAATCAGTGCGTTTAAAAGTCCCTCCACGCTATTTGTGGAAGAGCCGTCCATCCTCTTTCTGTTGCCCTCCCCCTTCCCCTTTGCCCAATCACGAAAACATGACACCGATCTTCTTAGCAAAGTCATCCCCGTCTTCATCTTCTTCCAGGTATTCCTCTTCGCCCTCTGCATTTTCACCTTCTTCATAATTATAGTCACCCTCATCCCCCTGCTCGTAATCATACTCTCCTTCCCTCTGATCATCACCTTCGATTTCATTTTCCTCATAAATCATCCCCTCTTCAGCCTCGACCTCTCCAACTTCATGTCCTTCTGAAGACTGACCAGGAGCCACATCAACTTTTTCATCTTCAGTTCCAACTGCATCAGCCATTGCAAACTTGGGCTCTTCCTTCGCTGCAGGGGGCAGACTGTTATTCGTCTCTGTAACTGCAGTCTGGGAGTTGCCTTGATTGCTCTCCCTGCTTTCTCTCTGATTATTGCCTCGTTTATCGTGGGCAGAAGATTTCCTGCTCCCAGAAGCTGCTGCTGCTTCAGCTTCTCTCTTCCTCTTCAGAATTTCACTGAGAGGCTTTGGCCCTTCAAATGAAAGATCTCCTACTGCTTGATTATTATTATCCATCACACTTTTCCGTTTTCCAAGGTAAGATTGCTCCTTATTTTCTGCATCTTTCACAACTTTCAGATCTGGAAGACGCTTTGGACGAGAAAAGTCATCACCTCGGTCATCCATTATCTCTCTCCTAACAAGAGGAGCACCAAAATTTCTCCTCTCATTATCGTAGTCCTCTTCCACCCTTCCTTTAATTCTGTCTCGAAGCCTTCCTTGGTGGGAGGATATCTGAGGCCTCCTGGGTGACAATCTACCTTGACTCCTAGCTCTGTCAACTTCCCTTTCTTGATGCAAGTCACTACCATTGACTGGAGAAGACCCGCCTGGAAGCTTTATTCTACCATGAAGACGACTACTACGGGAGCCCTCATGTGGGGGCAACTGCTGTGAATCCCTAAGAGGACGGTTGTTCCGCTCCTCAACATGACCATCTACTGCATAGTCATGGCTGACGATGGATCTCAGACCGTTTACCCTCCTATGCTTAGATAAACGATGTCGCAGATCTAACTCATCAATGTTCTCCGGACTCTCAGATTTGCGATAACCCCTCCTCTCAAGACGAGCAGGACCCACTAACTGTCTCTCAGATGAAGCCCTGTGCTGGTCCCATGCGTATTGCCCTTGCATGCGATCATAAGGGTCATAGCCTTGTGGGTCACAAAACCTTCTCGATCGACATCAGCCATTGAAGTGTAATCAACAGGACGGTCCAAATCATATTCGTTCACAGAATTCAAGTTCCTTCCCTCATGACCTCTTGTTCTTCCGAACCGATCTTCACCGTGGTAGTAATCAGAATCTCCGAGCTCATCATCTACAAGAACATCAAATCCAGGGGAAGACTCCCTCAAATGCTCATCAACATCCTTCACATTTTGAAAACCATGATAGTCTGAAACATGAACCTGAGGTAAATGATTGGCCCGACTTGTTGAGCCTCCATTGATAACAGGGGGAACACTTGTTGCCTTGTATCTGAGAGCCTCATCATCCAATGCTTTTGTTGACTGCACATTCCTCTCAATGCTAACTCCATTTCTAATTGGTGCAGTCAGAATTTTTGGAGCAGGTTTAGCTTCAGGAGGCACTCCAACAGACTTTGCAACACTTGCCTTGGGAACCTTCAACTCTTGAATGCACTTGAAGGCCACCAAAAGCCTTCTTAAGACCTGAAGGCTCCGTACCATGGGGAGCAGCTGGTGTCTGCAGAAATTTACTACTAGCCATAGGATTTGGTCCGTGCGAAAAGGCACATTTTTCACCCTTTAAACATTGCCCCTTTTGGAAGAAAATACAGGGGACTGCTTGTTTACTCGGGTTATAAGCAGCATGAGTTGCAGGTGTTGTAGGCGTAACCCCAGGATGTGATAGAGGCAAAGAAGGTCCAGCAGAATTTGCAGCTGGGCTTCCTAACAATCCATCAAGAGGCTGTAGAGGAACAATAGATGGTCAGAAACAATGTCAGATAAACGTAGTAAAGGTTTACAGGCAAGAAGGAACATTCTTAGGGGTGGTTTGGGAGTGAGGTGCTTAAAAAAAAAGCACCCATGAAAAAAAGCTGTGAGGGTTTTGGGTGTTTGGTAAACTGAAAAAAAAAAGGCTTATTTTGGAAGCTGCTGTGAGCATAAGCTGAAATCAAAGGAAAAAGCTGAAGCTGCTATTTGCAGCTTTGGAAAACTGGCTTTTTTTCAAAGCACACGGAGCTACAGTGCTCCTTTAATGAAAAGACTCACTATCAAACTGTTTTTTTTTTCAAAAGCACTTTACAAAAAAGTTTACCAAACACTCTGCTGATTTTTTTCACAACCGCTTATTCTCACAGCAGCTTTTTTTCAAAGCACAGCAATACCAAACCAGCCCTTATACAGGTTTAAACGTGAAACAAATAAATTTGGAAAAATAAAAGAGAGAAAAGACTTACTGGGTGCCGAAACGCGCATTTCAAATTCAAGCAACTGCCATTCAACCAGTACCAGCAATCCCTGGGGTTGACACGAGCATATTCACTGTGTCTATATTCACATTCACTTCCCTGTCAACAGGAGCATCAATGAGGTTAGCATGGAGGAAATCAAACCAATACTGGTGGTATATTAGTACAGAAACATGCTTTTTGGCTTTACATAAGGACGCTTCAAGTAACAAACTCAGGAATTCACTAGGCCACGTAACGAAGGATAAACACCAAAAACTAAAGTGAAAAAAGACACAGCATACCCTATGAGATAAAGGGCCAGAAGTATATTCCATATTATGTAACAAACTAACTTTTCCCAGCTCAGAATCAAATGTAACAGAGACAATGCAATCAAGCAGGCTACCAAAAAAAACTTAACAAGCCCCAAATTGTGAAAAGGGGTTTAATTTTGAGCTTCAAGCACCATTTTCAAACATAACTTCGCTCGAAATAAAGCTTCTCATAGATCAATTAAATCAGCCCTAAAAGCAAGCTCATCGAGATTCCAAGGCCTCGAAACCATGATTCTGCCATTGAAACTTATCACATACATAATCTAGCAGCAATTTAACATAATTAGCCCTTGGGATGTACAAATAAATCTGAGACAAGGGTTTTTATTATTTTCTTTAAGTACAGGAAAATCAGAATTAACTAAAGGAACATACTTTAATCTAAAGAATTCTTGGCATCGAACATATCCAGAAAACCTAATTCCAATCCACTTCAATTGATATCCAAATTCCATGAAAATTTTAAATCTGAAACTTATAGCCGGAATTGCATCACACTTTCGGCCCATCCCAAAAAGATATTACCAGAAACGAAACCCTAAAACCCTGAATTTGAAAGCGAGAATACCCAGAACAAAATTCAAATCAAAACAGAGGGCATACCTTTTTGCATGTGAGAGGCGACGCGAGAAAGTAGACGCAATCCGTGTTCCTCTTCAAGGCCTCCTCTTCAGCTGAAGTCTCCGGTTGCTGCGGCGGTTTCTGTTGTAGCTGCTGCTGTGGTTGCGGCTGTGGATGTGCGCCGACTACCATGGCGATTGTTCGGTTGAAACTCCGGCGGATCGTAACGGAATCAGATCGATTCCAAGCGAGGGAGAAAGAAGGGGGAGGGGGAGAGAGAGAGAGAGGCCGATCCAATCTTGAAGAAGAGCCGCCACCAGGATGGGCAAGCTTACAGAGAGAGAGAGATTGAGAGAACGAGGAAGTGTGTGATGATGATGAGGATTTAACGTAAGCGTTTTTTTTTTTATTTTTTATTTTTAATTTATTTAAAATAATAAAAATTGATAATAATGATAATCAATTTATTTAAAATAATAAAGGCTTACAGAGTAAGCCGCTTCTACAAGAGCAAGAAGCTCTCATTTTTCCCATGCCTAAAGGCTTGCAGGGTAAGCCGCTTCTACAAGAGCAAGAAAATTTGAGCGTGATACTATTAGACTCATGAGTTTAATATATCAAATGTTAGAGTGTGGTACCATATAAAAATTAAATTTAAAATATTTGATTTCCATATGTAGTTATCACATTTACCTGAACTACTATGAATGGCCTGAGAGAAAAACCTGGTAAAGATCTCATTTTCCAATTTCGTTTAGATATGTTTACTTACTTGAAATATGTGAAGTTATGAATAAAATTCTTGTACACGAACAGAACACATGTTTGCTTATTTAGAAGGAAAAAAGTTATTAATTATGAATCGATGAGGTTAGAAAGAATGAGAACCGAATAAGTTTTGGATTTCAAACGCTAATGTTAGAGACAAATTTGTTTTATTTTGTATGTATATGTAAATGTGTAGAATATGATGAATACCATACTCATATACTTATAGGAAGTTAGAAATACTGAATGAGATAATTTAAGTACTCATATTAATGAGTGCATTTAAATGCGTTATGTGTATGCCAACTAAATATATCTATGATTATAGAATCACCTTCTCATTAAAAATGCAGTTTATAATTGTTTTACTTATCGATATTTTTTTTTTATTCCGTATATTTTAGAAAACACAATGTAAGCTAAAAATAAAAACAAACCCAATACTCATATTTTGCGCACACATGAAAAATGAAAAGTCAAAATAATTTCCGCCAAAGGGGGATTTTAGTAAATAACCAAATACAATACTTGGGCTAAGGGTCAAGTTGGTAATTTTTCTTACATCTCCCCGCCCGGAGCCCAAGTATCATATACACCCCCAAAATAAAGAGCCTTGAATACTAGAAGAAAAGCACCTATACCTAACAAGATTAAGTGAATACCCAAAAATTGTAGTCATTTTATTTCTATCTTTCCATACATAACCGAAGAATGGAAAAGATTCTTCAAGAGTCTCGGGTCCGAGAAGTGCTATAATAAATGCATTCGAGCCAAGCCAAGTAAACATTCATGTCATTTGTAATCATGTTGGTAAGTGCTTTAGGCGACATAGCGACTTACGTGTTTGCTATTTCGTGACATGGATACATAAGATACTATCAACTTCAACATCCCTAGTTTTTGTTTCGCAAAGTGGTTTTTCTGTCGCATTTTGGAAGACCGGACATCGGTGCCTTTTGGAAGCGGTAAGTCTTAAACTGGCTGTTTACCCCTTCATGGTTCCCGCAAGGGCAGTGCCACTCACACACAATCATTTTTAGTTCTCACATTTGTCTCAATTTTTTATAATAAGATCGAATGAATTGAAGAGTGTGTGAATAACACTTTCATTCTCACAACTGCAATGAAATCACTTTTTTCTTAATCGAATCCAAATTCGTCAAAAAGCAAAATGTGAAAGGCCAATATTACCCTTTTTTGGTGCAGTCCAAACTTGACGGTGCAAATTGTAATTTACCCAAAGAACAAATAAATTAAGCAATGTGACAACATTACCCTTCTCTTGCTGATGATACTTACATTTGAGTACTTGCTGACTTTTATTGACTTGAGTCAAATCAAGTGTTTAGGTTTTTACATTAGCATGGACGTAAATTTGCAGAAAGTGATTCCAATATCAACAGCACCAACCCCAACACCAAAACGAGGACGGGATGCGACCGGTTTTGCGAATGTACTCTGCTTGATGCTCTGCTTTTGCTGCTTGCCGGTTTCTCTTGGCCTCTGCCGCAGTTCGCTTTTCTTGAGCTTTATGTCTTGCAGCTGCTAACTTATTCATAAGCTTACCATGAGCGCGTCCTCTTATCCTTTCAACCTCGACCTGGAAGCAACGACTGTCTGTTTCAATAAACTGTAAAGGTTCCAAGAGAATGCATAGATTTACAAGTTCAATGTCTTGACGGTTTTCTATGTTTACAAGACGTGTACACTATTTTCAAGTATCCGAGCAAACAAGTAACCAATTAACAAGATATATGTGATAAAGAACTAAGTGGCCCGAAAGAACTCAACCTGATACAAGGCTGGCCTGCTGTTCATTTTTTTGGTTGTGACAACAAAGACCTAAAGCTCTCGCGCAACACAATGACCACATGTCCACATCGCATTGTGTCATAATGAGCAGGTACTATAGGGTTTTTCGGGAAAACCCGAAGAAGTCCTAGCGAGTGCATTCTTCATTAGGACCCACCCTCTTGCAGTTTAGAATGGTCAGTGTTTATGTTCCAGGTAACATTGGCCAATCTTAAATTTTAGATAATCAGTCCAGCCCGGCTGGCGTAAATTGGATATTGTTTTGATGTCTAACGAGAGTTTGTAAATTACTCTATAGATTTTTTCTCAAAAATAATAAAAAGAGAGAAAATATGATATTTGGAACACGGAATGGCTGGCACAACAAGCTTTCTAACAGAAAGCAACTTAAAGTACCTCGATTTTCCTCATCTCAGCTTCTGTTTTCGCTTTCTGATGGTTTTCCCAAGCTTGAATTTTCATCTCTTCACGCTTGAACCTGGATAATTGCATGGCCACATGATCACTCCACAATTTGAAAATGCAGCATAAATATCAATGTGTCCCTAAAAATCGAGCATCATTATCTAACAGTCCAGTTACAGTAGTACGAGATGGATACTGTATTAAAAACAAAAAAACAAAAGAAGGCGGCATGAACTAACCTAGCCATATACTTGGCTTTCTCAGATTCCTCCCATGCTGCTGCACGTGTCTCAATAACACTTGTACCCGGCTGTTCTTCCAGTACAGTTTTCTGTGACGCGGATGCATCCTTATCCTCCTCTTTGCTAGCCCAAGCAGCGATGTTCATCTTACCCAGCTGCGTCCCAAGAACCATTATCTCTCTCCTAGTTTTCAATTGTAACTCCTTTTCAGACAACTCCTTGTTAGTATTTTGGTCAATCGGAGATGAAGTGGGTGCAGCTCTGCTAGGAGTTGATGGACTTGAATTATTAGGACTGCGAATTGGTGTTGTTGCCCCCACGGGAGTTCCAGTCCTGGAGGGTTCCTGACTAGCTATAGGTGTCATCTCTGTCCCCATGTCTCTCATTGACACCGACCTTGCTGTTGAAGGAGGAGGAATAAATATTGTTGTTCCATGAAAGGCTGTAGAAGAATCATGCTGGCTAAGATTGACTGCGAAATCATATGCAAATTGTGCAGCTAGTTAGTTCCAAGTTGTCGCCTAAAGCTCACCTTGTAAAGTATTGCACATGAAAGTTAATTTACGAGAAGGCAGGAAGATCTGTGAGTGTTATAAACAATTATAAAAGCAGTTTCTTTCTGATAGGCCTCACTTAACAATATGAAATAACACGAGAACAAACACATCGTTCTTCAAATCATTTCCCACACCAGACTCCCTAAAGGACAAGATGGACACCGACTCGGTTCCTATTAGGAATGGATTTCTATAATAAAATGGTATGTATCAAAATGTTGTACTGAAGAGATTGACTGTTAAAATGTTCAAGCGTTGAAAGAAATTTCCTACTGAAAGTGTAAAAAAACATTCTAGAACACCGAATTGAGTGAAATTCCTGCTACGCACCAACTTGATTTACAGTGCTGAAAGTCTTATTCGATAAATAAGGATGCAGTCATGAAACAAGAAGAAAACCACATTCTTACTTGCCGACTCTCCGACAGAGCTCTCAACCATGAGCACCGATTTGCCATATGAATCGGCAATAGGGTATGGATCAGGCTCCCAACTTACACACTTCTGCCCCCCATTTGCCGTCTTAGGTTGGCTTGTGTCAATTCTTTTCGTATCAGGTTCTTCAAAAATATCTACTTTTTGATCTGGAACTTCAACAACCACCTTTGTGCTACAGCTCGATTGTCCACTCCCATAACCAAAGCTACCCACCTTTTGCAACCCAACCCCTTGCCCACCCTGCATTTGAACCTGTCCCATCTTTGGCCGGTTCCAAGTTGGGCTCGCTATCCACTTCTGCGCATCATCCCATTTGGACGGCGCTGGTTTGGAGAATGGGGCAAGAGGCACCCTTTGTGGGGCACGCTCTGCCTTCTGAAACTCAAACATGGAGGCGGACACACTCATAGCATCGCACCCACTACCATAATCTAAAGAAGGGTCTTCTTGGCTCCTAATTCTTGAATTGACTAATCTGCTATCCTTCAATCGCTGGTCGCTACCCATCTCCGGGCCTAATGAGTCAGCAGCATTCAAAGTCGAGCATTTGGGATGAACACTCACAACATCCACATCTTTGCAGTTATCAGATGCACCACCCCCTGCAAGAATCCAGTCAAACATCGAAAGGGTAAGAACATCAAGAATAAATTTCACTAATTCTGATCTGTTGACCACAAAGTATCATTTTTTTTAAAGTTTAATTAGGCTCGGCTACAAGCAATGGTTAACTACCTTTGTTTGTTTCTCGAGAAAACTGAGGAAAATTGAAAAGAAAATACGAAATTTGACTGCTTTCTGCTAAACCGGAATCGCCACAGACCCAGTAGCTAGCTTAATTCAAAGACTAAGAAATATAAGATTCAAATAATGACTGATTAATTTAAAAAGGGAAAACAAAGAGCTAACCAGCTTGATCATCAAAGTCAGGAGGCTGAGATCTCAGAGTGAATGCACATTCAGTATCTTCATTCTCCTTCCTCTTCTTCTCTACTCCCAGTAGCATACTCCTCAGCTTCCCTGGGGAAAATCCCCCACCGCCCACCTGCACTTTCAAATCCCCAATAAGCTATCCGATAAACTCAAAAAGGGGTCTGTGTTTTTGTACCCAAAAAATGAGAAAGCTAAAAACTTTGAAGCAAATTCGTGAAATTGACGGATAAAGAATGAGGGGTTTTGGAGATAAAGACAGAAAATGTTTCGAGTTTTGCACATTAAGTTTGAAAACGATGGAATGTGAGAGGCACCTGAGGCTTTTGGATCCTTTCGTAATCCATGGAAATGTGAGGGTGACAATATCATGCAATTCAACGCGTTGATGTAGAATTTCACTCAACCATTCTCTCTCTCTCTCTCTCCCCCTCTCTCTAGGAGGAAGGAGGAAACGAATGAATGAATGCGTGGGCGAGTGAGTTTGCTTTTTGCTTGTTTTGAGGAGCTTGAGAGTTGCAGAGAGAGAGAGAGAGAGAGGGTCGTACACAGATTGCAGTGAGTGAGGGAAAGAAGGAAAGTCACGTCGCAGTCGGTCGGTCTCACTTTCGCAGGGACTAATTATGTTTGCAGACAACGTAAGGGTTTGGACCCGCTGAAAGCCTGAAAGTACACCTTTTTCGCAGTGAGTTGCGTTTTTTTCGCTTGTTTTTTTTACTGTTATCTGTTTGTTACTTTTCCTTCCTGTCTCTCTCTTTAGACGTGATATTCCGATCACCGCCCTATCATCATGTGCTCGGATCTGCGGGTTACGATCTGAATTTGGATTTCAAATCCATTTCCCTCCCTCACTTCTTTGGTCTCTTCTATCTTGTACTAATTAAGTACATTCGTTTGAAGAAAAAAAAAATGGAAAAGAAAGAATACGAGACACCAACACAAAGTTTATGATTTGGTGAGATGGTTTATGCATTGAATTAATGTGCAAAACATTCTTCAGATGACAATCACACTAGTACATAGTATGTATGGGGACGACCCTCTTTGGTTATTTTGGACAAGGATGGTCTGCCCCCCACTTCTGATGCCCTTCTGTGCCTCTTGTTTGTGTGATCATGGTTAAGCCACGTCAACATTTTATATTACTATTCATTTTTATCTTATGTTGACATGGTTTAACCGTATCCATACAAAACAGGAGGGCACGGAAGGGCACCGAAATTAGAAGGGCAGACAATCCTTGTCTGGTTATTTTATACTTTTGTTTTTGGGCATGTGATACTCAAAATTAATGAGATTCACCGACTTTTTGGACTCATCACATACCTTAAACAATTAGTTTATTTCACACGTGTTTATTCACATATTATCATTACAAAACAGGTCTCTTTTTAATTTTTTTTTTAAATTTCACTCCATACCCATATTTTAGAGAGGTGGATCCATCACATTAATTTTACATAATTTTTTACACAAATTTTATTTCCTCTATATATTATTTAGGTCTTTCTTTTAAAGTCATGTCTACAAAAAATCACACATATATTTAGGTCTTTCTTTTAAAGTCATGTCTACCAAAAATCACACAATCTCTTATGACCGTTTGATTAAAGCTTTAGTTTCTTTTAGTAGAATCGTAGCCGTTCATGTTTTTTCCACCACAATTGAATATTTTAATGATTTCATATTTGTTTATTTTTTTACAAGAATAATTCATGAATAATGTTCTAAAAAATAAACAGTTTAGACTATTAGTATACATTAAAAAACAAGCTCCAAAAAAATATGTGTAAAAAAAGCGGTGTAACGAATCCGCCTTACATGTAAATGGATAAGAGCATGGATTTAAATATCGATATTATCGGCGAAATATCGCCGATAATATCGATTTTTCGGGTAATGGATATTTAAACTGGTTTCCGTGTAGTTTTCGTCCAAATATCGCGATATTATCGATATTATCGATAATATCGCGATATTTTGGAAATATCGAGAAATTTCGTTGAACGGTGCAATCGGATTCCGATATCGGACGCCGGAGATGGTGTGCCTGTTCCCGAGCCCATTTCGTCCCAAAAACCTTGCAAAAACACGAATTTTAACTTAAATTTCACATATATACTCCAAATTTCACGCATGCATCAACGATTCAACATATGTGATATCGGTTTAGGGCTTAGGGTTTCAATGGAATCTCACCTGAAATATCGATGACTGGGCCAACTCCTTGCTCAGCGGCGCACCACCAGAGACAACTGAGGGAGAAGAAGAAGGATGGACGGAGAGACTGAGGGAGAAGGATGGACGGAGAGACTGAGGGAGAAGGATCGAGATCGAGGCTGAGGGAGAAGGATAGACGGACGGAGAGACTGAGGGAGAGAAGGATCGAGATCGAGGCTGAGGGAGAAGGATGGACGGACGACGGAGAGACTGAGGGAGAGAAGGAGAGACTGCGTGTGTGGTGTGTGCGTGTGTGGTCTGCGTGTGTGGTGTGTGCATGTGTGGTCTGTGCATGTTTTGCAGAGAAGAAGAGACTGAGGGAGAGAAGCAGAGAAAGGGAGAGCCTGGGAAAGTGGAGAGAAAGAGAGGACTGAGAGAGAAGATAGATGTGAAGGATGGGGAATCGGGATGGAGGGGAGGTCACACCACACACGTGGTGCTGAAATGGGGAAGCATGCTGCACCTTTTCAAAGTTTCAATTTCAACCACCCACCCAACCATGATTTTTACTTTTAATTTTAAAAAGTTAAATATAACCATTCAAAATATCTTAAGTTATATGACTTAATGTATTTTTAAATTTTAGATTGGTTGGATATTCTTTTTACATTTTATCATTCGATTTATTTGTGGGCTAACGAGGGAAACCAAACTAGCACATATGAACAATAATTAGTAATTTATTTAGAGTTTTAATACTCACATCCTTATTAAACTCCTAATTAATTTTCAATTCAAACATTTCAAATATATAAAAAATAAAATAAGAATAAGTTTGTACCCATTAATTTTTATAAAAAAAAAATGATATGTACCCGTTATAAGAATAAGTCACTCATGTATCTTACCATGCAATATATAAAGTGTAAAATATTGTACTAATTCATTATATATAAATGATTATGGTGTGTTTAAACTTCTTTCATTAATTACTACATATATAAATGATTAATTACTACATATTTTCTACACTCACAATGTTTGTCAGCTCGCTATATAATCAACTTGATAATGTTAAATCCATCATGCAATGCATTTCCTCCAATTTTTTGTGATAAACTAATAGATAATTGACTAAATAAACATCCTGCAAAGTTTCAATAAAAATTTCCAAGTTTTTCTTACAATTTCCGTGGTTTCCATGTAATTTTTATCGATATCGATATTTTATCAATATTTCCGTCGATATTTCCGTGTTTTCGGACTACCGATATTTCCGATATTACCGATATTTAATACCTTGGATAAGAGTCACAATATGGAGGCGGCAATCCCGCAAGCGTTTACAATTTTCCGCTGTGAATATAACCGGAAGCGTTCGAGAAAAAAGCCCTGCAAGCCCATAAGTGTAAAAAGCCCAACAACTTCAATCCCCACGGGCCACACCTCCGCTTCGGGCTCGAATTCTCCTATTTTCGCCGGCCGTTTTGTTATTTCCAATTTCTCCAAGGAAAAAAAAAAAGAAAAGAAAACACATTGGCGATTGAATTTAAATTGGTTTGGATTTGATTGGTTATTTATTTATTTCTTCTTCGCTTTCTTGCGGGGCGATTCCAAAATCGTTTCTCAATTCTCCAACCTCTTCGGTTTTAGGATTCAGAAAAGCGAGTAATAATTGTGTAATTACGTATTAATATAAGCAATAAATAGGTAAAAAAAAAGTTAAAGAAAAATAAAGTAGGAATTGGTGGCGTTCGGATGGCGCGTGGCGGAGGCGGCGGCGGCGGCGGCGTCGGGGTGGTGGAGTCGGCGGTGATAGCTTACAACCTGGGAGAGGCATCGAGTTGGTGGCACAACATCAATGCCTCCTCTATTTGGCAAGACCGCATATTTCATGCCCTCGCTATTCTCTACGGTCTCGTCGCCGTCGTTGCCCTGGTATGCATCTCAATCTCTATGTATATCTTTATCTATTTCTATATACTATATATATTTGTGTGTGTGTATATATATATATGTATGTATATATCTGTTATCTGTATGTGACAATTTTATTTGTTTAGCTGAATTCTGATTCTTGTTTGCTAAGATTTGTAGTTTTCGTTTGGTTGCTTCGAATTTGAAGGGAAAATATTCAGCTAGTACTTTGGAGTTGTGTGTGTGTGTTTATGTTTCAATTCTATCATGCACTGTTATTAATTTCAAGATTAATGCAGAGATTTGGTGAAGATTTATATGTTAATTTGGTATTTATATTAAATACTAGGTTCAATTGATTCGGATACAATTGAGAGTGCCGGAGTACGGTTGGACCACACAGAAAGTCTTCCACTTTCTTAATTTCGTTGTCAATGGAGGTTTGTATCTTATTTGTCGCGGCTGGTGCATTTTCGGGATTTTAATTGCGTTCATGATTTGTTTTGTGTGCAAGTGTTTACATATTTTTCTCCTTTTTCTGTTCATGTAGTTCGATCAGCTGTGTTTGTTTTCCGCCGGCAAGTGCAGAATCTGCATCCGGAGGTTGAATTCTCGTCAGTGCCATTTTCTTAAGTTTAGTTGTTTTTAGTAGATTTTAAGTTATTTTTTGTGTTTTCTTGTCAGATTGTCAAACATATCTTGCTTGATATGCCGAGTCTTGCTTTCTTCACAACCTATGCACTCTTGGTTCTGTTCTGGGCCGAAATTTACTATCAGGTTATATTTCATTTCAAATACTCTTATGTAAATGATTTCTTTTGTGGGAGTGGTGTTGGACTAAGGCGGTTTGATTATGACCCTTATGTGTAAATTGAACAGGCACGTGCTGTTTCTACAGATGGACTGAGGCCAAGCTTCTTGACTATCAATGCTGTGGTTTATGTGATTCAGGTGAAATTTCTACTCCACTGTGTCACTTTAAGTCCCGACAAAAGGGAGCTTTTGGAGTTGGATTCTTCTGCATGGAAGCAAGTCATGGTTTCTGAATAGAGCACAACGTTCATCTCATTTTTCTTTTTGCCATTTTTTTTTATTGTTTATTATACATAGGGCCCTGTAAACAATGCAGTTGAAAGGTTTCTGAATAAACCTTCCGCATATTTACACAAAATCTCTTTCATGAATATGGTTCCTAAGAACCTTTTTTTTGGTGTGTATTGATGAAAAATAGTTGCAACCAGATGTCATTCGAGCAATCAAGACTGATAGATATGTGCAATGGGGTCAAAGGGCTCAGAGAAAGATAAAGTAATTTGGACAAAGTTACAAAGTTTGGAAGGATAAGAGATGTTTAACAGGAGTGGCATGTGAGGGTTTTAGATTTTCTTTATGCTTTAACTTACGGCTGACTGGAAGCACCCAAAGGGGTTTAGCGAGTTTTTTTATTAGATATTTTAAAATGCAAGAAAGTAGATAAAGGTAGCAGGGTGATGATTTTGTTAGGTGTGTGCACAGTTTATGCTTTGGCCTACAATTGACTGGAAGCACCCAAGGGGTGTATGGTTTTGTTAAATGTCATGCTGGCTAGGAATATCGAGATGTAACTCATTTGTGCCGGATAAGGAAAAACTGCTCCTCTGTGCACGTGCGTATTATTTGGAATTTACCTTTCCTCAAGGTCCTTGCTAATGAACTCATTAACTAATTATCTTCACATTATACTAATATTATTCCAAGATGGAAAGGAGATCGAGACCATGCTGTATCTATATTTTCCATAATGGGAAATAAAACTAAAGTTGAAACACTTTCCATTCCTTCTATTTTCCTATACTTGCATATTCTATAACGAAATCATTCCTCTCTCTATCTCTCTCTGACATAGTGCAAACGATGATCATCTTCCTCACATCTTTGTGGACACGCACGCACATATATACATATATCATTTAATCTCCTACTCACCTGTTTGTCTTGCTAAGTTCAGCTTCATCTTTGCCACTCATTATGTCAAATACAGTTTAAAAGAGTTTTCTGCTCATTTCCGCCTATGTATGAATTGGATTGAAACTCTTTGAAAATATATCAAAAATATTGGTCTTGATGAATTCAATAATTCAGATATTATAGTAGAAGTTTGGGGATTGTTTTACTGGATAGTGGAGAGAATGTGTACGGGTACCTATTTAAAGTAGGACAATTGGCTACTTTTTGGATATTCATTGTAGTTGATATGGTACTGATTACGCTTATTGTGGTGCACCTCTGTCTGCGCAGTTCTATGTATATTGCTAGTTAATAATGTGAAGTATCTGGGGAGTTGGGAATGCTACATCTAATAGTATTTTTGTTTCGGTTTACTTGTTACAGATTGCTATGTGGCTGATATTGTGGTGGAAGCCTATCCCAGTTCTCTTCATCTTATCTAAGATGTTCTTTGCAGGTATTTTTTTTCAGTAGGTACATATAGTATTTGAAGATTTGTAGTTTATCTCGATAATCTGTTATTCTAAGACATATTCTTGCAGGTGTGTCCTTATTTGCAGCGCTTGGGTTTCTTCTATATGGTGGAAGGTAATTGATCTGCATTTGGTTGTTTGCCGGTTTTTCTGACATGAAACGCTACATTTGCAAAATCACATTGTCCTGTGTACGTCTGAAATAAAAAGGAAATAAAGTGTAACAAAAAGCAAAATTGAAATTCACTTACCTTCACATAAGTTTACTTGTTGGAATCAAATTCATACTGTGTTTGGCTCTACATGACCAACATCACACGTCAGGACCTTTAAGACACACAGGAGATGTGGCCTAAGTTAAGTAGGTACGATGTTCTTGCCAGCGTTGCGTAGCCCAGAAAAGCAAATAATTCAAACAAATAAGCACTATACTGAGCCTTCACGAACAACTATATTTTCATAAATGCATCATATTTAATGGATTCGTTGAAAGTTAGTCATATTGCCTTGTGTTTCTTATGTGTAGCTGCCACTGAATTTAGGTTGTACAGTTGTACTAGAAAAAACAGTTCTACTTCTCCCTCACTCCTTCTCACACCCTCTATACTTTGATTGTTTCTAAATTTTTTGTCCTTTAGGGAGGAGATTTCTTCTCAAATAGTGTTAAGATAGTTTGGCTCTCATGAAGTTTGAATGATTTTTTATGGGCACCTGTAAGATGGGTGAGGGATAAAATTTCTGTGTTGTACCATCCCCTTTATGTGATGGAATGTCATTACTTTCAGAAGATTAGTATCTTGTACATGCTATAGTTAATCTTACTATGTCAAAGTTACGCATAAAGTATTAATTCGGTAGCAGTTACCTTAGCCGTTGCATATGTTCATCTGGGAGAGAATTTGGTAATATAACACCAATCCTCTGATTATGGGCAATCTTCTAATGCTTTTGTTTCTGGCAGACTCTTCTTGATGTTGCAGAGATTTCCTGTAGAATCAAAGGGACGACGTAAGAAGCTGCAGGAGGTAAAGACTTGAAAAAGATTGTTTTGAGGACCTCTAAATTCTCATCCGCAGATGTACTCACTTTCCTTCTGTTTTGTGACTTTTACAGGTTGGTTATGTGACAACCATATGTTTTACATGTTTCCTTGTCAGATGTGTAATGGTGAGTGCTTGATTTTTTTTTATGGATTCTACCTACTACTCCTTGAATTGAGAACGTTTGATGTCTTTAAGTTGGTCATAGTTTTAACAATCAAAATCACATAGATGGTACATATCATGTGCGTGCACAAGTATACGACCAAAAATTCCGATTGGATGTTAAAGCCATGGTTGAATTGTATGCATCTGATTTATTGTTTCCTCACTTAAGCTTCCATTATTCTTCTCTTGTGCTACAGATGTGCTTCAATGCATTCGATAAAGCTGCAAACCTTGATGTTTTGAATCACCCGGTTCTAAACTTCATATATTACCTGGTAAGCATCTGGTTTATGTTTTTGGAGTAAGTCTTTTGGTCCATTCATTGGATCTTCAATTCTCGCCTTAAAATTTTCCTTGCGGCCTTGCCCTTTCTTTGCAGTTGGTGGAGATATTGCCTTCTTCTTTGGTCCTTTTCATTTTGAGGAAGTTGCCTCCAAAGCGTGGGATCACACAATATCATCCCATTCGCTGAGAGGATTTAGAAACATCCCGCTGACAGAAACTGAAGAACGGACTTACAAATACGCAACTTTGAAACGCTTATCTACCCAATGGGGAGACGAAATATTGGAAAGAGGCGGAAAAGGTGACGACTATGGGCTTTGAGGAGCAGCTTTATTGGATTCCGAGTGTTGGTTCTTAGCAGGGGGTGGTAGATTTGTTGAAGAGAAACGACCTTTAAGGGATTGTCAAATATGTAAGAATCATGACCTTTTATTTTGATTGTCTTGAATCGGACTGACCGGTGTTGCTCTGTTGTTTTTAACAATCTCAGAAACTTAAAGTCGTAGAATTTCATGTTTCATGAACTCCGGGTCGGTGTTTTCTGGACATTTGTTTTTTTGGTGAGATGCAGAAATGTGCATTGTGTGATAGTTTTACATACTTTGAACATAATGATTGTTGCAAAGGATCAGAAGCGTCGTACCTGTTCTGGGACTGCAAGCTTCCTTTCATGGCGTAAACTTGCCGGTCGTCTTCAAAGGTTTATGGATTCTGGCTTTTGGGGGTTGCACCGCAAGCTCTAAGGCGAGAGACGCGATGGGGTTTTGTCATCTGGTCGAACCGAATGGAAACGAAGGCGTTTGGGAAAGTGGATTGGAGTGTTTAGGGTGGTGAAGGTGGATGGTTGACTAAACGATGGGGGGCATTGGTTTCGCCCTCTACTAGTCCACTGGCCTGAATATAAATTGAATGGTAGGTTTTCCCTCTCAATTTGCAAGTAGGTTTTGAATGGTAGTTAATGACCATCGTGAGGTAAAAAAGATGAGAGTTTCCAATTTAGGGTCCTGTTTAAAGGCACTTAATAAGATTACTGAAACTTGTGGCCCTAAACTCAGGTTACCCGTGGGTTTAACCACATTAGTTAGAGCGACTGTGCTGTCCCATAGCTTTGGAACTTGGGAGGGTTAAGTCATGCTGGCTCATACGTTTTGTTTACCTTCTATGTTCTTCCCATGCTTTTAAGTTTCAATTTTGGTCGGAAATTTCGAGTTTGATTCCTAAAGCTGAAAATTTTCACCCTACGAGTGCTTAATCAGTGAGTTTTCCTTGTAGTTAAACTTACTCCTAATCCTGCTACATCACTCGTCTATCCATCATTACGTTAATGAATGATGAATAAAACCGACCGAAGGCGTAGAGTCAAAGTTGGAGTACAAGACTCCGAACCCAAAAGTGAAACAAGATGCAGTTTGCTTTTACCGTTATATTATGACACAGCTTTCCTGTTTTTTTTTCCTTAATTGCTACAACTTTCGCAGACAAGATTAGAAAAATATTTTCACGTCGAAACAAAGAGAGATTATAATTATTTCAAATCTGATGAACGTGGGTGTAGGTTGGGTGGGTTGTGGGTGGATTTGGAGGAGGGATTCTAAGGTAGGTGGGTAAAACATTGAATTTTATATCCCTAAACCCCATCTCTCTAAACCTTTTTTCTAATAGGAATGGGGATCTTCTCCGGATCCCTTTTGTGGGGATCTAGAAAATTTTAAATTGTGTCTGTTAATCATATATGGTATGGTCAGTAATTATTTTAAAATTTTTATTAAAAATTAAACATAAACAGTAATTGACGAAAACTGACCGTACAATGTAGATAAACTGACACAATTTAAAATTTTTTGAGATCCTCACACAAATGATTTGGGGATGATCCACGTTCCTCCGATAGTAGTTTTATTAGAAAAAGACAATTAATTTAGTATTAATTATATAATTAGAGACAGAGAGCAATGTTTGTCTTTTGCATTTTTCTCATGGAATGAGATTGATATTACAGCTAAGCCTTTTGTTTTGTGTTTTGGGGGCTTCCCTTTCCTCTTTCTTTCTCTCTCTCTCTCTCTCTGTGCTGCCGTTGTTGACCATGACCCTTTGATTGAATATGTTCGTATATACTTCAGCCGACATAGTTGTGGCACGCTTCTATTTGTTTCCAAAGCAAAAGGATTTGGTTGTTAGCTTCAGCATTGGCTTTTTCCTTCTCTTCTTGTCGTGGTGAGCTCTCTTTCAGACCTTTTGACAAATAGATTGTGGGGAATTTTTGTAGTCAAAGTTGCTATCTTTTTGGACTGGAATTGTTCTTTTGAGTTTCTGCGAGTTGGGTTTATCAGATTTTGATGTTTGTTAATTGGGTTTCTGTTTGATTTGCATACTTTGTTCCCGTTTCTGAGATTTTGGGTTCGTAGTAGTTTGCTTGGAGCTCATATTTCACCTGTTAATATAGTTGAATTGTTGGAATTTCGATTTGATTGCTGCACTCTGGGGAATTTGGATTGCTGGGCTGTTTAGAATCTACCTTTTGAAACTTGAGGGATGAAGGGAAAGTTTGGAACACCAGGAAGTTACTTTGTGTTAAACACAGGGGATAGAATTCCTGCCATTGGACTTGGGACATGGCAGAGTGGCGGAGACCTTTGTGTTCAAGCCGTGAAAACGGCGTTATCAGTGGGTTACCGCCATATAGATTGTGCACATCTTTATGGTAATGAGATCGAAGTTGGGGAAGCATTAGCTGAAGCATTTAGGGGTTCACTGAAGAGGGAAGACGTTTTCTTGACTTCTAAGCTCTACTGCACAATGAATTCTCTCAATAAAATTGAGAACTATGTTCGAGATTCTCTTAAGAATCTTGGAGTTTCGTATTTGGATCTATATTTGATGCATTGGCCTGATAGCTCAGCGTTTGGTGATGCTACTGATCCGCCTTCAAAGTCTGGGAGCGAGTATAGGCAATTCTTGAATCGGTTGAAGAAAGCATGGAAAGCTATGGAAGGTCTGGTTGAGATGGGTCTGGTGAGAGCTATTGGGGTCAGCAATTTCAGTGTTTCACAAATCAAACAATTGCTTAAATTTGCAAAGATTGTACCCGCTGTCAATCAGGTTGGATTTCGTAGATCATTCTTGCTATTTTTAACAGCTCAGCATCAGAATTTGTCCTTTATAAGTAGTTCATATTGTTTGAATGATGCAATGGATTTCCATCTGTTTTTTCCTTTTCTGCTGCTTCTTTGATTACAATGTTGATCCATGGGCCTAATATGTTAGAGTAGACAAGTGATTTAATCTAGTATCATTTTGATGAGGAAATTCATTGGATAAGTTGGCTTTTCAGCAACTATTTTGCTACAATCTACTAGCATGAATGAATCGTCTCATGCAATTTCTCCATTTTTTTGGTTCACATAGTAATTTGTAAGTGTTGAACGGTGGAATTCAATGCAATGTGAAGGAACATGCAGTAATATAACAAAATTGCATAACATAACCTGTATTGAAGCAGCCCATTTAGGTCCTACTTTGGTATACATTGTAATGTGAAGTGCAGAAAATCATCATTTGAGTTGTGTTGAGAATTGGCCTACTAGCACAGTCTGGCTCAAAAAAATAAACTTAAAGACTTAATTTTTCCCCTTCTCCGATCATTGAACTTTCTTTAATATGTTAATAAATATTTTCACTGCACTGCATTTGTGCTCCAAAACTAGCTGAACTTGAATCTAATTTTATTGAAAAGAGACTGATTTGTAGGACTAGCTCCTCTCATGACCTTTCTGATTCAATGTTGTCATTGGAAACCAATTATATATCAAACTTGGTGCAGATTGCTCTATGCTATTATCACATTTCCCAACTCTTTTCTGGTATAGTGGCTGGATTTCGATGTTCATCTTAGCTAGATTTTAATTATTCTCCCATCATCATTATTTCAATCTAGGTTGTTATGGTTTTGAAGCTGCTCAATCTATGATATTATCACATAATTCAGGTTGCTTAATTGATTTATGATTGAATTTTTAGGTGGAGTTGCACCCCTTTTGGAGGCAAGATGAACTCGTAAAGTTCTGTCGATTGAAAGGTATCCATGTGTCTGCTCACACACCCTTAGGAGTCCCAACTTCTACTCCTGGACCATCTGATAGCAGTTCAGGTGGGGAAGATGAACCTGGAACTCCTCGCATATCATTCAGGAGGTCAAGGTCTGTGCATGGGCCTATGCTGAAAATATCAACAGTTGCAGAGATAGCAGACCGACACAGAAAAACACCTGAGCAGGTACTTTACATTCCACAGTCCTTTTCTCTCTCCATACCATTCATGTCATCCAAGCTATGTACCAGAAATGGAGGTACCATTACATAATTTGCATATCCTAGTGATTTCAAGACCCATATCAGAGTAGGCTTCTATAAATTTTCCCAAAGTCTGAAGTTTGCACTATTATCCCTTTGCTATAGGTAGGTTGAACTTGCAAGATTGACTTTGGGAAGATATAAACTAAGACTATAAACCGAAAGGTCTGGAGTGGTTCCCTCATTGAATTAAGACCACAATCATATACTGAATCAACATTAGTTTCTCTTCGGTGTTCTTCACCCCACCAGTAACTTTATGCTATATTTGCTATTGTTAATGTACTAAGGAATGTTATACGTTAAACAGAAACTACACAATAATACTTATTTAAAGAGAGAGATTATACCTGGTGTTGGTAACTTGGTATGCTTGGTCCTCCAGTGACTATGCTATCTTAAGCTAGTCGTGGCACATTTATGTTTAGAAATGAGGTGGGGTCTGTTCGTGTTTGGAAGTTATAGTTTCGCTAGTGATTTGCACTACACATGAGCCAGTATTTTGTGATTGGTGTTTTTCAACATTTTTTACTTTCCATCTTTAGATTCTGCAAGCATGGTTATGTTGGGGATGGAAACCACTGTCTTATTCATTTGTGCTTGTGATTTTAGTAACACATTGGTATCTGTTTCAGGTTATTTTGCGTTGGGGGCTGCAAAGAGGAACCAGCATGCTGCCTTGTAGTCTGAAGCCTGATAGGATTAGAAAAAACATAGACATCTTCAGTTGGTCTCTATCAGATGATGAGTGGAACCGCTTGAACCAGATCGAGCCCCAGGTATGCTTGTTTGGAAATGGTCCTTTGAATAATCTTTCAGAGAGTGGGTTTATGTCTGGAAGTGGTCCACTTCAAGCTGTGCATGAGATGGAAGATGACATGGAATCCAATGCCTGATACGCCGATAGATAATAGTATCCTCCTCCTCCTCCTCCTCCTCCTCCTCCTCATACAATGTGCCATTTTTGTTCAAAGAAGTGATCATCTTATATGTGTGCCCATTGTTAGCAAGACTTCTTGTTTGTGGATGCTTAGTAGAAAGTCAGAACAGACATTATCAATTCAAGTGCCAAATATAACTTCTGTTTTCGACAAACATGAGTGATTCAATCTCTTCGTCTTTTATTTTGTTGTTCTTTGACATGTATCTACGAAATCAGATTTCGGTGTGTCGTGGTCTTTTGGTCATTCTATGACGTTCTTTCTCTCGTGAATGTAAGCTTTATCTACAGCCATGAGAATATTCATGTAGACAAATTTCTCAAATCACACTCGATCATAATTCATAACTGACACTTGTTCGTCCTGCTCACCAATTTCAACTCCGTCCGTTATTTTCTTGAGGAAGAAAATGGTGTTCTGAATCATCGCCGATGGAATACTGCAGCCATCATGCTCATGGCGAAAATGAATTGAACATCATGTGTGTGAACGTGAAAGATGCTGCTTACTTTTAGGTTTCTAGTCAAAACTATAAACTCAAATGCAAACGAGATGGAACAAGATTTGGTCCATCTCCGCTACCTTCCTCCTTTCTGACTAATACCAAATTTAATAGACTAAAATTGGTGGTGTTGTAGACTTTTCTTGCACAAATTGATGTCGATGTGAATGGATTTGGGAAAATGCACGATATGCAATTGTCAATCGGCCACGTCCAACAATTTCAACCGTGGACGAATGCTTTTAAGAAAACTAATGAAAATGACTTGAAAACTTTTAGTTTTAACGATAAAGACAAAATAAAGGGTAAAATGAATAGTACCATGATTGACTTTTTAGGGTAAAAATATGGTTTTTCGTTAAAGTGAATAGTACTAGGAGCTTTTCGTTAAAGTTCTCATGTTTCTAAGGTGTTTCAACTCTAAATGGAATTGCTTCTGCAAGCACTAAAAGTGCCTTTTGAAAACCAAAATCATTTTCTACTACGTTTGATAGAAAATTTTGGGGTCGGTTTGTGGTTACAAAATCGCTTATCTAGAGAAGCGCATGCTATGTTCTTTTTTACACGTTGATATAAAAGCACTATTGGGTAAAGGCACCTATGAGCACTAGTGTTTCGTATAGAAGCAATTCTGAACAGCCTATGTACACAGTAAAGTCAATACATTGAACTCGAAAGGAAGGTATTTTAATAAAGTTGAGGTATATTGGACTTCACACATGGGACAACCTGCTCTGATACCGTAAAGAAAGTTGAAAATCCATAATAAAACCAACTGACAATACGGAGAGTGGCTCAATTATTTATAAGTACATGTAAGGTCCATTCTTTCCTCGATGTGTGATTCATACTCTCGACAATAATGAACATCAATCTCTTAAAAATATGAACAAACCACAACACAAAAGACTTGGAACCTTTATTTTATACAATACGAAACCATTTATGTCGAGGATACATATTCACAACAAAAACCAACTTTGAGAACGCAAAAACAACAATTTATAGATCAGGAGATATAACTTCTTATACAAGTAAGATATATTTGCTGTACAACCAGGGTTTCCCTGGCTTCCTTATCTGAAAACAATGCTAGACTTTCTTGGTGTTGATGTTCTCGAGCCACGAAACTAGCTGCTGCGTTGAAGGCCTCACCTTCGGGCATCCGCTTAAACAGAGGCATGCAATCTCAAAAACACACAACAGCTCCTCATCGTGCTGCTTGTCACAAATGAAAGGATCAAACACCTCGCTTTCCCTCTTTTCCCTCTTCATCTGAAAGGCCCACGAGATCAAATCCCGGCTTCCTTTTGGCTTGCACATATCCATCGGCCTCCTTCCGGTGAGCAGCTCCAAAAGAACAACCCCGAAACTGTACACATCGCCCTTGTAAGTAGCAACAGAGGCTTGGCCGTACTCAGGAGGGATGTAGCCTAATGTCCCAACAAGATCAGTTGTTACATGAGTATCATACGGATCTATCAGCCTTGCAAGACCAAAATCCGCTAAGTGCGCTTTAAAATTCCCATCCAAAAGGATGTTGCTTGACTTTATATCCCGATGAAGGATGTGGGGCTCGCATGACTGGTGCAAATAAGCAAGCCCTCTCGCCGCCCCTTGAGCAATCTGAAGCCTCACATTCCAATCTAGAGAGGTCGGACCATCACTTTTCTCATGTAACCAGTAATCTAGACTACCATTCTCCATGTAAGAATATATCAAGAGCCTGTCACTTTTATACGTACAATACCCCTGAAGATGTACAAGATTTGGATGCTGAGCTCTAGACAAGGTTTCAACTTCAGCATGGAATTCTCTGTCCATCTGGCCACAGTCACCAGAAAGCCGCTTGATAGCAACCTTCTTACCATCAGGAAGGCTGGCCTTGTAAACCAAACCAAAACCCCCGCAACCGATGATATTTGCTTGGTCGAAATTGTTGGTAGATTGTAGAAGGTCATCAATAGAGAGCTCTTTATTGGCATCCTTGTTTTGGAACAGAACCACTAGTTTTGACCCGGATTCTTCCAAATCCTTCTCGTTGGTATCGTGGTCCTCTCTTTCAGGATCAACCCCTCTCCGGCTATGTGCCCGCACCAAAATTGTGAACATGAGAGCAAGAACAAGTGCTGTTCCACTTACAATTCCGACAGCTATACCAACAATAACACCTCTATTTTTTCTTGATTTGCTGGGATTCCCAAGAGGATAATGCTCCTTTGATGAACGGGGCGCATGGTCGCCCCAAAGATTATTCCCTTCAAAGCTTGAATTTGGGAAGGTCCCAAACTGACCTCCTGTAGGGATCACCCCGTATAACTGATTGTCCGCAACACTAAACTTGGACAAGAAGCTAAGCTTAACCAACGAAGGCGGGATTGTACCTGAAAGCTTGTTATGAGACAAATCCAGAGTCTCTAAGCAGGCCATACCAGATAAATTACTCGGTATTGGTCCTGAGAGATTGTTGCACTTCAGATCCAAAACATGAAGCAATTTCAGTTTCCCAAACTCTGGCCAGATTGGTCCGCTAAGATTATTGTTACTAAGTTCCAGCGTCGGTGGAAAGCTCCACACTTGATTGTACTGCAACCCTCGTGCACTTACATTCCTCTTCATGAACAGAGGGAAATCAGGGGAAGGTTCCTCAATGGAGATCCTCCCACTAATGAGGCTCGGTAGTCCAGTTAAGCTTCTAGGGATTTCCCCCGTAAACGAATTATTCGACAGGTCCAAGTAGAAAAGACTGCTAAAATTGCCAAACCAGACTGGAATTGTTCCTTGCAATTGGTTCCACGATATATCCAACAATTGCAATCTGCTGCTAGTACTCAACCACTGAGGTATTACACCTGTGAGCCTACAGTTTGGAATAATAAGAACCTTCAACTTTTCAAAACGAAGGGTCGGATCAGCAGGAAATTCTTCGCCGCGGAAGTTCAAGGTGAGAACCAAAGTAGTCAGGTTCTGGCACTGCTGTAAAATTTGTAAGGCAGAAGAGATATTGGAAAGGCTGGAGTTTGACAGCGAGAGGTAAGAGAGGCTATGGAAACTCTTGAAGCTTTCTGGTATTTCGCCCGTGAAGTTGTTACGGGCAAGATTGACATTATTCAAATGTCGACAAGAGGGAAGATTGGAGGGAATAGGCCCATCAAACTGATTGGAACCGAGATCAAGAGAGGTCAAACTAGTCATTGCTGAACAATTAAGATCAATTGTGCCCCGCAATGAATTGTTTCTCAAATTAAGCAAAGAGATGGTCGAGGAACTCGACAAGGAAGGGGGTATCCGACCACCGAACCGATTTGAATGAAGTACAAGATTCTGTAATCTTCCAAGGCTGTGGAAAACATCTGGGATGGTTCCTGAAAATTCATTAGTTGAGATATCCAAATAACAAGATTAGTGAGGTTGCCGAATTCTTCGCTCAGCACCCCGGAAAGCTTGTTATCTTGAATGTTCAACCGGGTTAGGTTTCGCAGACGAAATAGACCTTCGGGCACACCGCCATTGAAATTATTCATGCCTAGACAGAGGTCCTCCAAGGAAGTACAATTGCCAAGACCTGGTGGGAGGTTACCAGAGAAGTAGTTCACAGCCAATTTCAGTGCTCGAAGCTGAGTAGACTTGTCACAGATGCTAGCCGGAAGGGTACCATTCAAAAAGTTTTGAGAAATTTCAAGGAACTGGATTGAAGGCAATTCGATATCGAAAGGAATGGGGCCGGAAAAATCATTAGAGCTCAAGTCCAAGAACTCTAAATTCGGCAAATGGAAGAGCGAAATTGGAAGCGAGTGTTTGAGGAAATTTTGAGAGAGATTGAGGGTTCTAAGCTGGTCCAAAGTGCCTAAAGATGCAGAGAGATTTCCCACTAGCCTTCTCTTTGGAAGCTCCAACTTAACCACTCTATAAGTATCAATGGAATCGTTCAATCCGAGAGAGGAAGAAGAATTGCAAGTGATGCCTGCCCATTTGCAGCAATCAGGTGAGAAATTGCTACCCCACCCATCAATCACAGAATCTATACCGTTCATGAAATCCTCCAATGCCTTCAAATCGTTTGGATTGCATGTCAGGTTTTGAGAGCTCGAAACCCGAGCTTGTAAGCAAACCCAATAACAAAAATGAAAACCCAGAAATCTTGAACACCCATTTCACAGAAACACACCCTCCGGAAGAGAGAGAGAGGAGAGAGAGTGTACAATCAAGTAGCAGCAGCAGCAGCAAAACCCTTGCCAAGAACCAAACTTTCAGAGGTGGGTTTTCTTGTATCAAACATAATGTCTGAGAAATGAAGCAAAAATACAGGAAAACAAAACGAAAATTAATCAAAATTCAAAGAAATAAAGCAGAAACGTAATAAAAAAGAGAGAGTAAAAAGACGAACCTGACAGATAAAGAGAGAGCAATGGATTTGCTTTTGAGCCTTTTGACTTCAAAGAAACAAGGTTTCTGGTATGATACAATTGAATGAATAAATGAAAGTTTTCATCTTTTGTTTTTGGATTTTTTTTTTTTTTTTTCAGTTGCGGTTCTTCTTCTCCTCGCCGATTTTTCTCTCTTCAATTTTCTGCTGCGAGCGAGCAGTCTTCTATTTTTCAGACAGTATTTATAATCTTATGTGAAGGAACAAAGTGGTGACCGGTAAAAGCCGGTCAATTGCAATAGGTTTGGCTACGGACAGCGATGAGAGATTTTTTAGTATATTATGATATGATCATTTAGAAATTTGAAAAAATAAAATTTAACTGATTTATTATGATATTTGTTGTTTTAAATCGTGTTTTCAATACAACCGTGTTTTTAAAATTCTATCCTATTGATTTAATGACACTAAAACCGTGTTCTTAAAGGGGAATTTTTTTAGTAGTGATCTCAGGTTGAAATCTTAAGAATAATACGTTTGTAATTAATTTATTCCTTTATTTTATTAGTATAAATATATATTAGTGTATCAAAAACTGTGAACAAAAATGTCATCTTCAAAACAGTAATCGAAACCAAAGTCAAAGATGGAGATTCGGGAAAATGATTTTCTCCACAAAATTAATAAATGGATGTTCAACAATGGTCAAACGTTCAGCTTATACAATTTGACATTCGAAAACAAGTCGGCAAATTTTAGGAACAAGATTGAAAGTGAAACCATCCTTGACTTACACCAAAGAATGTGGTATGACTTCTAATAAAAATTAAGAGATACGGAGAGGCTGAAAGTAACATGATAGTTGAATTAGTAGGATTAAGGGTTCAATTTTCAAACAATTATGTATATTGGGATAAGGTGGTTCCAAGATCATTCAGAGTTTGAGAAATATACATTACACACCCTGACCTAAATCAAGGTAGTACGAGGTATTTTGGGAACTCAATGGTTTCAGGTTCCATTGGAACTCCAAAGTTAAGCGAGCTTGGACGATAGCAATCTTAGGATGGGTGACTCACTGAGAAATTCTCGTGTGAGTTCCCAAAAACAAAACCGTAAGGGCGTGGTCGGGACCCAAAACGGATAATATCGTGTTATGGCAGAGTTGAGCCCGGGATGTGGTGGGGACCTGCGTCGGGATGTGACAATACATGTGAAAGGCTTATGAGCACTCTTCGAATGTTTGGTATATGTTTCGTTTGTGTCCACCAAGTATTTGATGTAATGTTTGCTAACATGTGTCGGCAGCACCTGTTTTTATCTAAAAAAATTTACCCTTAACGAAATCCCTCAATGATAGGGTTCTAGATCCGCCATCGCATATATTTTTATTAATATTCTTCTTAAGGTTAGGCGAACGATTGAATTTTTTTTATTTGTATAAACTAGAGATTTGAACTCCTTGGATTGTCAAACCATGCATGCTCGATCCGAAGTTTGAAGAAATCGAATCGCCGTGGACCGACCGCAGTTCAAGACTTTGCTTCTTCTGGATTTCCAATATATTTTAGATTTTTTATTTTTATTTTTAATGAATTTGTTGTCTTTATTATTCAGTAATATTAATATTTACACACAATTTATTTATAAGTCTGTGGGAATCAGAATAGTCAAATATGCATGCATGCATGCATGTCTGAAATCTCAAACACTTATCTTTATACAAAGAAACAAACAACGTCGCTCACAACTCACAAGGGTCAAATATGAACAGCAGGGTTGGACCATAGAGAGGGAGGGTTGGGGGAACAATTTGTGTAGATCTTGTGGGGCAGGGCGGAGCCAACAAGGGATCAAAATGATCTGTGACCCATTTTGCCATTTTATCATACTACTCTAGCGGATGTTGTTATTACATATTAGTTTACCCTTAAAATTTAAGGAAAATTAATGAAAAAGATTTGAAAACTTTGAATTTTAACGATATTGATTAAATAAAGGGTAAATTAAATAATATCAGGATTGACTTTTTAGTGTAAAAATATGATTTTTCATTAAAGTGTATATTACCTGGAGTTTTTCATTAGAGTTCCCTAAAATTTAAGTATGTACTCAACTTAAACTCTTTTTCGTTTCAGGCCAGCCTTATTTTTATTTTCATCTCTCTTATTGTAGTCTAGTCTTCATTTTCCCTTCTTATTTTATAAATTTTTTTTTTGCTTTAACTTGTATTTTAAACTTTACTTTTTAGCTCATAATCGGGTTTCTAGGTTTGTGCAATGTTTTTTTTCAGTCTTTCTATTGAATTTAGGGTTTTTCAATTTTTATGCAAATTTCTCATGTTCTGCGTTCAAATTAACTATGCATGTGAGAGATCCTCACACATGAAATCTTGACTTTGTCACTGTTGTGCATGCATTTAATTAAGTTCAAATAAATTGAAGACATTATGTTTTAATAAACATCGAAATTTCAATCGTAACAATTAAGTAGACAAATGCATGATCGATCTTGTGAAATTATAGCTCAAATAAATAAGCACATAAAATACAAATAAATTATAGCTCCTTGAAAAAGGAAATTCAAACCTTTTTATCCTTAGGAAGACGCATGCATGGTCGATCTTGTGAATGATAAAAGATGTCACATGTATTATATGTCCAATTCACAACTGGTTACATGTGTCTGTCTCATATGCAATATCATCTTATCGTAATTTCAATTCACACACAAAAGTGGAAAAAGCTGTTAGTCACTGCCCAAAACTGATATTTCATGATCCAAGTAGCGTATATCGATTGAGGATGCATGCATGTAGAGTAAGTACTTTCGGTTAACAAAATTGCTCTAACACAAGGCAGAGTGAAAGATAATGTCGCCACTTAATTGCCAATTAGTTTTATAGTGGAACTCAATTTTTTTTTATGGTATCAGAGTAGGTTGTCTCACAAGTGAAGTCCAACGGGCGCAAACACTGCACGTCACCTAAGTTGTGTTGTTCACGTATTAAGCTTGAAAATTTCCCACAGGTGAAAGAGAGTGTCGATAATGAATTAGACCTTCTCTCTTCAACCCTAATACCAACATCCACCTCCCAAATAATTAATTATATCCCAACCCTAGATTGGACAATGTATATTGATAATTCGTGGCATGTCTGCCCTTTTTCTGTGGGATCATCCTCCAGTCCTTCTCGTGGTGGTGCTACCACTAATTTAAGTACCTACAAGTTTCAACCAACAAACTCATATACTTTTTGTGAGAAAGTTGAGCCTGTACAAGGAGTAAGATTTCTCTCCTCCAAATCTTCTCTTTCTTTCTTCCGCTCATATTTGAAGGGAAGTGAATTCTACTTCATCTAACAGTTGCCTTCCACTAGTCTTGCAGACTTGCCCCGACCCGATCCATTACACGTGGCACATATAGCAAAATGACACGTGGCGTTTCGTTAAATTGTGTGCCCACTGCCAACAGATCGTCTGCAAAAATTTTAATTCATTATTTTGTTTTAAGATGAAAGCTATTGCTTGCTATTGTCGTGAGAGATCACGATCAGTAATAGTGGTACGTACATATATAATTGACTTAGGAAGAGAATGCCAACCCTGCGTCATCATCTACATAAGCACGCACTACACAAATAATAAAAGAGAAAATTAATCATATGTTTCGTGAAATCCAAGTCTTAAGATTGATCGAATGATGTTAATTAATCGCATTTAGAGAAATAATGAGTGGGTTAAGTGGATTACATTACATGCTTCAATAATAAATAATGAGCAACCCATGCCGCTGCATCTATAACCAATTCGAGGGTCCGTTTTATGAGTTGGTCCCAACTATATATGCCTCCTCCAGCGCCGGTTATGGTACTCTCTCGTGAGTAGTGACAGACTACCATGTTCTCCAGTTTTGTAACTTTTGAGCGGGAAGGTGTTTCCAGGGGCGGAGGCACTCTAAGGCCACCATAGGCCAAGGCCTACCCTCATTAAGGATCCCCCAACTAACCTTTCTAAATAATTATGTATTATATTTGGATAAACTTAATATTATACTCTTTTAGTTTACAAACTCTTAATTGCATTCACTAATAGTTAAAATAAGAAAGTCCTTTTTCTTTTCAATCCCAACAACACTCGTCCTAAAAATAAATTTACAAATCTTATTTTATAAACAATCAATAGCTCAAAATTAAAATCTAAAGTCTAGTTTAGTTATCAAAAAAATAAATTCTTTACATTGCCAACTGAAGAATAATAAACTTTGAGTTTCTCCTTCTCCGCTTCTTGAAATTTTATATATTTTATCTTTGCTCTCTTTAACTTTTTTACTAAATTTTTAAAATTTCATATATTTTGTTAATCAAATTCCCAATCCATAATTCTCATTTTTTGTTCGGAAATTCCCAATCTATTCTATATTGACTTGGAGTGATGCTATAGATAGCTTCTACTTGAGCCATATTTTATGACCACATGATTGTATAGTACTTAATGGTTGGACTACTTTAAATCACCAAAGAAGGAATTCAATCATCAACGGGGTCACATTATGTGGTTTCTAAAATATGGTCTAAAAACATAGTATCCCTAGTATTTTTCATTGACTTGAGAATGGAAGGTTAACTTCGACATAGAAAAACATTTAGAGCCTAAAAAATAATTAGCTCACAACTCCAAGCATGCATTATTTAAAATTTTTCACATTTATGTGAGGCCCCTCCTCACCTAAAATCCTGGCTCCGCCACTAGGTGTTTCCTCTTCTCCCCTCAAATTTTGTGGTATGCCTACGTAGTATTTGGTGGTATTTGTCTCTTATTTCCAGGTTCTTCAATGCTTTTTGTGTGATTAGGCAACATTTTTCATCCCTGTTGTGAAATTAGGAGTCGCATTACGCATCCCGATGGTATGTATAATTCTGTACTATTCTTTGTATTATCTCTTGAGGATGAATAAAGCAACCTACTCAAACAAAAAAAAAAGTAGCAGACACTACAAATCATGTTATGCTTTAATACTTTTTGTGCCAAAAGTAAATGTCTAATTAGATTTTCAACGCGAGCAATATAATTTATAAGATTATCTCATCATCCTATTAATTAACAAGCAAAACATCATGTGGTCACTACTCACTTTCAAGCAGTGTCTTCGGCTTTTGCCTTTTGGATATAATATGGGCCTCGCTGTATAGTTCCTAGGGCGTAATTAGCCCAAGGCCTTTTGAAA